TCGTTCGAAAGACGTCTCCGATCACCTTCTCCTCATAGAGGAGTCTGCGTAGCTCGTGCACAAGCGGGCGGTGTCGTAGCCACATTGCTTCGTGGACGTATACATTCTTTTCTGCTGCGGCGGCGAATACTTCTCGTGCTTCTGCGGCGTTCAGGGTGAAGGCCTTCTCGCAGAGGATGGGCTTTCCGGCGTGGATGGCGTCGAGACAGTTCTTTTTGTGGAATGAGTGCGGGGTGCCGATGTAGACTACGTCTACGTTTGGATCGTTGTAGACGTCTTCGTAGGAAGCGTAGATTGTTGGTGTGCTTTGGGGACAGTATTTTGCTGCGAAGCTTTGGCCTTTTTCGAGGGCTGAGGAGCCGATTGCTTGTACGATGTGCTTGACTTTGGGGTTTTCTTGGGGTATCACTAGGTCTTCAACGAACCAGGATGAGATGAGACCCGTGGCTAGAGGGGGTTGTTAGCTTGGTGTTTTGTCTATTGTAGAATGTAGAAAGGGCTTACTGATAATTCCCCACCGGATGGACGGTAGTTCGGACATGGTTGGCAATTCGTAATGTTACTGTGGGTTTAGACACTGATAGCTGGATGTGTGAGGAAGCTGATTTATAAGTTGAAGCCGGAAATTGATTTCCATTGCCGTTCTTATTGACTTTTCGAGACAAGAAATACCACCAATTATATTTGAGACGCCTAGCTATGTATCTAACCCGAGATGGGAAAGTCAAAGCCCGTTACATAGAATACATATCAAGTAGCTTTGGTATATGGATGCAGGGAGCATGACATATTACTCTTGGACTAGCATATTTTGTTCTCATGTGTCTGTATAGTATTACTGCTAACTGTTAGCATACTGTCCAGGTTAACAAGTTAGGATTGGTCATATCGGTACCTAATATCCACAATCTGGTGGCTGGCTGGCGTTGCACGTTTCTTTACTTGACCAGCTCTTCAGCTTACTTATTGATAGTTAAGATATTGAGCTCTACACATGCTATTCTGGTATGTGTGCCACAAGGACTCTAGACAATAGGACACTGACTTGGTGACGATGCCAAAGACCGCACAATAGAATAGGTGAGACCGTTTGGTACCATGTCAAGTGTTACATATGGTAGATCGAGATTCCATTGTTCCAGGCTCCACCTGGGTGATAGAGTTGGATCAGTTAGATCCATTACCGCAGCTAATAGACGCCGATAGCCATAGACTAGCAGCTTAGATCGGTCGCGAATCTGAAGCTATGGCGTTTATGAGATAGTAATATGGTCACAATGGATGTTCCATGGTTAGACTTGTTAGTTATTAGGTCAGCGTTTAGTCTGGGGACTTTATGCGTATCTCGGGGAGAAAGCGTTATCTCCGTCAGGGCTTCGGAGAAGGGCTTCAGTTTCTCTACAACCCTAACATCGATCTACCCTGCGGCATGCCTGCGGAGAACAGAGCAACAGCCGAGAAGGGCTTTAGTGCTTGTACCTTTTCGTTCTTTTACCTTCCAGCCCCTTGCTATTTGCTCTGGAGCCTAGCTGACCATACTACCGAGAACCATAGGCAAGCATCGGATTACCATTCGTCATGAATGCTGTAGACCATGCTGTAGTCGAATAACTACGGCCTCTCAGCGGGCTTTCAGGGACTTACTCGCACACACCCTCTGACCGATCTTTTCTGTGGGACTGGTAGCATATATTCGTCGTAGCTCATTTCCTCTCCCGAAATGGAAATGTGAATTGAATGCAGAGGATACTGAAGGATGACAGACTAGATGAGAGATCTAGGTACCACAGCCAATGGCAATGCCAATCGCCTGTCCTAGAGAATCAAATACCTAGACATGGACGGGGTATCTATGAAAGAGTTCGACCGAGGCCAGACTTCCAAAGCAGTCTTTCTATTTGGGCTATACGACTCTAAGCTCGATAAGTAATGACTATAATATAAGTGGGCTAATAACAGATACAATACCGTGAAGACACGAAATATCCCAGCAAGAAAAGAAGCTACACCACAAAGAGCCCTACATCATCTACGGAAAATACCGCTCCAAAACGGCTGATGGATCTGTTTCACCGAGAATGGGGGTTTTCAGCGTTGAAATACTAGAGACTGCGCGCAAGGTAAGATATGATGGCTTTGACGTCATGGTCCCCTCTGGAGATGGAAAATTGAATCGAGCAAGCGTGGAGAGAATTTGGGGTTGATTTTTAACCCGCCAGAGCAGGGATAACCCATGAAAAATATTGGACTGATAGAAGTTATCTTTGAGAGACTTCACTTAATAGGTGCCAGTACCAAAATACAGTCAATCGGAGATAGACGTTACTATCACTCGCAGTCTTCACTGCCCTTTATCTAGCCGGAAGCGCGGCAACACGAATCATCATCGGATACTGTAGACAGCCGACAGTAGCACGAAGCAGTGATAGGCACGTCTGCCTTGAGCAGGGCAGCATCGCGCCGGGTACGGGTGAGCAGAGCTTCGTAGGTCTTCCCTGAACGTGCAAAGCATTCATATAGCCCATGCAAGCCCCAGACATTGTTGAGTCGCCCACGCCGGCGCGGCAATGTGTCAGAAAGACCAAGATCCTCGCTATAAACAACCTCTGCCTCTGCGATATGATTTTGTTCGAGCAGCAGAGCCCCAAGGGCGTGCCGCACCGGCTGCATCCAAGGGGGTGTATCAGTATAAGGCAACGAATCTTCCAGCTTCACAGCTCTTCTTAGGCTAGAGAATGCTAGGTCATAGTTCCCCTTGCGATATTCAAGCTCTCCCTTTAACATGGCCGACGCAATACGCAAAACATCAACTTCCTTGCTCGGCAGGCTATTCAGACGGGTTACTGGAACTGCAGCCCGTGCAGCTTCAAATTGGGCTAGTGCTGCTTCAGCTTCACCAATACGACCAAGGACGCCTAATGCGATTCCACGGGCATAGAGAAGCATCGCTGTGGTGGAACAGAAAAGTTCACGGTCTGATGGGAGTTCCAACTGCAGGATATCGTTCCAGCGGCCGAACCGCACCAGTACATGCGCTAAAGCACCAAGGTAACTCTCTGCCCAGTCGGCCATGGGAGGAGTTGATACAGAAAGAACCTCGGGAGTAAGAATGCTCCACAGATGCTTAGCAGTGGACAAAGCCTCGGCTTGGTGTCCAAGCATAATGGTTGCATATATCTTGGCGTAAACATTGTGTGCCCTATACATGATATAGAAGACAGAGCTTGGCTCATTATTGGAGAAATATCGATTATCTGCCACCATGGCATCGTGATTTGAATGCATCGCTCGGTGGTAATCACCACAAGCGATATCGATGTGGCTTGCCATATGCATCAGGTGGGAGCCATCGGGGACAAGGTGCCGCAAAGTGTTTGCAGCGGGTAATGCCAGCTCGGGAAATGGGGACATTTCCATCAAGTGGATATACATGTGACAGAAGGCAGGATGGTCTTGGCTACCTTCCTTAGCCATGGCGGATTCGAGGAGGGCGCGAGCTTCAAGTGTGGAGTTGCTGGTGGGTTTCCCTGTGTCTAGGTCCCACAGGTCTCGGGCTCTAGTGCAGACTAGGGCTTCGGCAAATAATGCCACGACATCTAGGTCATAACTGTATGATTCATACACCGATCTCATAGCATTGGCGTAGGCGTGGTCTAGCGGTGTCAAGTCATCGGGAATCTCGTGCGATGGAAACCGTGCCGAAAGAGCCTCGCACAAGGCGTGTTCCACAGAATCAGAGCCTCTGGTTAGCTGTGATGCTCGAGATAGTGCCGCTTTTGCTTTGGGTAAAGTTTGTTCCAGGTCCAACCGATCAAATCGTGACCAGGCCTTGTTGTAATTAGGGCCCATTGCGTAGGCTATTCCCCACCAAGGCATTGCACAATGTGGATCGCATACTGTTGCTCTTTCAAAGCAACGTACCGCTTCTTCGTGATTGAAGGCGTAAGACCATAGAAGCCCTCGGTTGAACCATAGCTGGGCATCCGGCGACACGGTCCGTATCTGTCGAGAATGGGTACCTAGGTCATAGTACTCTTCTGATCGAGTGATCTGGGCTGAATTTATTGTGTTTGCAACCATTTTTGACTGCATATACAAATAGTAAATTATCAATCAATGGGGGAATTTCTTTAGTGAAATCCATTCAGGGTTGTAGAGGTCACAATATCCTATATGCATGCGATCCACATATTTGTAATCTGGCCCGGTGGGCATTCGGGATCCAATGACTCGAGATATTTTGGCGTTAAACCACAAGATCGATCCCCGTGGGTCCATGACCGGGGACCCCCAAAAGAAATTATCCATTGAAAGGGTTCCTACATTGTTTCCTCGTGTGGGTGTGGTTCGTCAACGGCTTAATGATCCCCACACTGTCGCCGACACGAAGACACGGACGCCGAAGTCAATCTCGAAGTACCGTCGAGGCTATAAGTGCTATGGAGTTCTGTCATTGAACAAGGCCTTCGCGATTTCTATCCATATTGCACCTTTTGTTTTTTGTTTTTTTGTTTTTTCCTCCATATAACAAGGTGAAAAAGTTATAATATCCTGCTAACATTATGGGAGACCCACTGATGAAACAGTGCGAAAAACCGTGCACGATGACTTTAATCCCTAGAAGTGTAAACCATGACGATCCTAAAACTAAGAAATGAAGAAGTTTTGGTCAAGTTTCACGGCATGTATCTGAATCACTGTAACCTTTTTATCTCCCAGGCGATATTCTGCTTACCTGTGTATACATAATATGGCATTTTGCAGATCCAAAGAAGCATTCTATCCATTGAGAGCGAAGCTTTGCTATATACAATAGTGGTAGTATAATGGTGCTATGGAGCCGAGGTAATGGAAATATTCCACTATTCGATATTCGACTTTTGCAATATCCTAATATAATATCTATAGGTATCTATTCCAACCTATGTCCCTATGTTCGTTTTTCTCTAGTCTATTAAAGAACTCCCTTGAACCTGTCAAACACCAGTCCTAGATCCACGTTAGGTGTCGGGTGAGTGTTCAGCTAAGCCGTCGTCCAACATGGCGAGATGGGGATCCTGCCAAAGCTCAGGTAGGAAGCTAAGCTGCATCCCCCACGAGTATAGCTGAGGGTTTGGGGACCCGTTTGAACCCGATGCCGGTGTTGGTGTACCCGTATCCATTGCGTCACCATGGCTAGAATATGGAAAATTCGAGCTGTGCCCATTGTCCTCGGTTGTAGTTAATGTTCCAGCGGGGCATTCTTGACGGGTGCTTGGTGAAGCAGTAGTTGTATTATTAACAGCCCGAAGCGCAACTTGGTAATACAGACGAGCGATGTGATAAGGAACGGCACTTTCGTAGTTTGGATCATGCTTTTCGAAGAATCTGATCACCGTGCCCAGAAGATCTAAATCCTCACGGGCTTGCGGGGTAGTTTTGTTTTCCAAGATGTTGATAAGCAGGATATCAACATTCCATGCGATGTGATATACCAGGTATCTGTTAGGCCTATTAGTAATTCTCTTCTTGCGAGTATTTCGTGCAAGATTGTGACCACATACATAGTGAACGGGTGGCCCTGGTCATGATAATTCAGTAACGAGATCGAAGCCCGCGCGGCGCTGACGCACAAGGCAACACTAGAGATGGCCAAGTCACTCTCTTCGTATTGATGCCAAAGAGGGACAGCCTTGCTAAAAACTACGGAATGAATAGATATAAGTAGTTGATAGTACGAGAAATGGAGTACTGTTAAGGACATCAGACGCATATCATCCAAGCCAGCTAGAGGAGTCTGAGGTCGAGCCATGTCGGGGATGTTCTGTCTCCAATTCTGTAACTCTTCGTCGAGCTCCATCATTCCGGCATATAACTGTTCTGGAGATTGTGCAGAAGCCCGCGGCGAGCGAAGCCTGTCGTAGACTTTGTTTTGGATATTCGCCAGGATGACCTGCTCCCGGAGCCAGTTTAACGTGGAGCCATCGTCAAACCTAAGCGTGTTACGCCCATCTTCTGGGTCCTCCTCTGGTAGACAGGAGAGTAGGTCGCTTGTAAGTGAGGGCGGTTTTGAATGATACATGGCTAGGTCTTGCTCGAGTATAAAGGCATGATAGAGCAATCTTTTTTCGTGTAGCGCTGTGGACCTATCTTGAGTGGGCCTTGTACGATGGTAGCCGGCCATGAGGATTGACTGGATAGCAGCTCCGAGAATGGCGGCTGAAGGATGGCTTCTTGATGTGTATACAAGGTACATGGCCTAGGGACAATTAGCAAGGAGACTCTTGTTGTTGTAAGAACCAAGGTCAGGACCATAAAAAGCATTGTCGCAATGCTAGCCTTATTCGGGCTTTGCATCATCATCACAGGGAGGATACTGAAAGAATTTTCGAAGCACTTTTCCGCTTCATCGGGTCGCATATTGTCAAATTTGCGTAGCGAATGAGCTAAAACAATATTGAGTGCTGCATACGATGTGGCATCCAGGAAGGATTGGCCATCGAGATGCCTTTGGAGTATTTCCGCCAAGTAACCGTCCTCGAAAAAATGGAGAGCGCTATTAAAAGTGGCAGTAAAGTCTGATGTGTATGAGAATTTTGAACAACAATATAGATGCATAGAGGCTATTACCTTTGAAGCATGCGCTGATCGTATCATTAGGGGGTAAAGGATGATTGACTCGCCCTTCGAAATTTCCTAATGGCACTTTCCTTGGAATCTTCAGACCGGATAGGAGGGAACTAAAGCTCTCATCGCCTACCAGTGCGTTTATCCAGCGGACCCCTTCGGGAGAGAGGATAGAGCATGATCCTGTTGGATAGTGTTTGAATCAGCTTTGATCGGGTGTATTTTGAGCATCTCCTATAGTGCCCTAGTTACCTATACACAATCTCTCCCCCTTCCTATCCATCACGTCAAGAGATACTGCCTTATCCTCGTGTGAGCAGAGGTTAATTGTTAGCGGACTTTGGGTGGGGCCCGTCGAGAGCCCCGTAGTTTGCCGAGTAGAAGTGGATTGCCCCGTCATGTTATGGAGATATTCGCGTCTCATTTGGCTAGTGGGCAGATGCATGGATTCCGAAATCAAACGCTCCATATTCTCCAATCGCTGAGTCAGAGCTCGATAGGACCTATGCCGCATGATGAGCACAAGAGAGGCAATTTGTTAGGCATAATTGCAGTGTATGAGTTGGTACATTTTATGACTTGGGGGACGCTGCCTTATACTACTGTACTGGCAGCTGTCCCCTCGTTCTTTACATCGTGCGCAGGACGGGCGATTCCCGTCGCACCTCACCTAGAACAATCAGGTTAGAGCGATACGTTCGGAATCCCGAAGGCAGCATGGTCTACCTTGCGCGTACGGCATGGGATGCAAGCCCATCGGGACTTGGTTTCTCTATTGGAGTTCGAGTTCGAGTTCTCCATTGTGGGCTGGTCTAACAATTGTGTTGTTGGCTGGAAGAAAAGATTGACATGAAATTCCGATATAAATTTGGTTTAGAATCGACACTAGATCATCTGACCGCCCCACTTTTTCTCCAGGCAGCCCGTAGGCATGCCATGTTTCTACGTTACTTGTAGCAATGTCAGTAGTTGATCCATAGATACGAAATGGATATATTTCCCTGGATCTTAGGCTCGGTATACTTTGGTCTTTGCATGAAGCCTTATTATCGTCCTTCTTGATGATTTACGTCGAATGAATAGAACCCTAATGCTCCTGTAAGAAATATATATCTTCCGAATATTGGGATTCATATTGCCTTGATGCGGGCGTCTTGCTCTTCTTCCCTCCTTTCTTTACAAATTCGAGTTTCTCTGTGACAGATGCTTTGGTTTAATTGGTAACTGAAGGATACCTGATATATGGGGTAGAAAAGGCAAGGGTGGCCACCTCAGATTGAGCGGGCAAGAGCTTGGGACGGCGGTGGCTGTCGCCGCGGATCATGACCTCTACATGCCATGGCTAGTCAAAATCTATGCGCTGGAAGCGCCCCATTTTTGTCTGGTATACAGGGAACGATAGGCACGGAGAGAAGGGCTCATAGTAGGAGCTATGGTGGCTCGCATTTTCTTCATAATTGCCAATATGAAGCCAAATATCTGGCTACACAAATCAATTCTGCTTGAGGTTAGCACCCATTTATAACCCTGATGATGCACCATGGTGTCCAATGGACTTTGAGCTTGTTTTGTGTCGCTACACACAACCTTCGTCTTTCTAGTTGTGCGACTAGAAAGGCAATGTCATGCTGCAAAGTATTCATATTTCCGTTCCCCCCCCCCCTTATCACAATCCCGTCCATTATTTGGTATATGTTCTCGATTATGTCTTCTTTGAAGGGGAAAGTGGGCTTTCGAAACACGGGGGGCATACGGATTGAAGCAGAAATTAGGGTTTGCGTTGAACAGGCGCATATGAGCGGGCCGAATGCTGAGGATGCAAACAGTAGGAGGTATTTTACAGCTCGGAGGAAAGTCCGGCAGTATTATCAGCTCAGAATATTGATCTACGTATGGTATGTCATTAGCCATCTCCACCCTGAAATAAGGCACATTTGACGGCGAATCGTTTGATACCTCGCAGATAGACCCGAAGTACAACTGGGTCAACACTTGACACCATTCTAGCTTTGCTTAGACGATGAAGACTTGTCTGGTTTACAGGCAATCTATACCTAAACACGTCTTATAGACTTTGGCCCACTCGGGTGAAGGGAGATTGACCGACGCATCGCAAAGCGACATCGTGCATCATAGCTTGCCATTGCTCTAGAAGACCACATAATAGACTGGCAGCGTGATCCAACGGATCCTTTCCATGTTTACGTCTAGAGTAGGTTCCGATGGAACGGAGTTGCTTTACACATAGTGATTTTCTTAGACTCTCGGCAGAATACCGTCGCCCAGCCTTTCGGCTCTATGTCCGTGATTGGTAGTTGCCTTCCAAAATACACAAATAGGGTGCCCCATTTCCCCAGATATGGGTGAACATAGACCTATCCTGGATGGAGCCCCTAAGCTGCCGAGCCTGTGTGGAAAATAACGCAGGTATTCTACCAACAATGGTATCACAGACGAGCTCCAGGTGGGTGGAGACGCTATACAATGTCATTGTTGGATTGCCTTCTTCCATGAAAACATTGTACCCCGGCTTTTTCCCCGGTAATCCGGGGCAGCCTGCTGTCTCAGCGGGCCATTTTCTTGCGGTACTATTGCTTATATAAAGCCTGCCCCTTAGGGATGAGTCCACCCTCAGTGCTTATATACACTAACACTTTCAACGCTACCGAATAGTTGGACTCGTCGGTCACAAAATGGTGTCCTCGAAGAAACCTTTCTTCGGTCTGACCGGGGGATGGCTGACCTTTTGGCTCACAGTGAGTTGTGATATTTCCCACGCTTAACCTCAGTCAGGAACAGACTATAACAAGGGTGAAACTACAGGTCGCTTGCGGTGTGGATATGACGCTGTTCGGATACGATCAGGGTGTCTTTAGTATGCTGCTCCCTCCTCATGATCACAGTAAATCTGACCACCTTTTCGCAGGCGGCGTGGTCGTGACGCAAGACTTCCTAGAACTCCATGATCTGGTCGGCCCTACAAAGACGAAAACGCTTTCAACAGTGACCGCTATTTATGACGTTGGTTGCTGTCTCGGTGCCATTCTCGCGTTTACGATCGGCGACAGCCAGGGCCGCAAGAAATGTATCCTCTTAGGTACTGCCATTATAGCTATCGGCACCATTTTGCAGGCGTCATCATACAGTTTGGCTCAGATGTTCGTCGGTCGGGTTGTGCTAGGGTGAACCTATCTGATTTTGAATCAAATTTCTGAGCGGGACAGACTAACCATATGTACAGTATCGGCAATGGTATGAACACAGCTACGGCACCCATCTGGCAAACTGAAACTGCACAGGCAAAATGGAGAGGAAAGCTGGTCATATTTGAATTGGGGCTGAATGTCGGTGGGTACTGTATCGTCAACTGGATCAATTACGGCCTATCCTTCCACGAGGGACCCATCGCGTGGCGGCTGCCTATCGCTTTGCAGTTTGTCCTTATTATTATATTGTTTCTCACTGTGCCATGGCTTCCTGAATCACCAAGGTAGGCTCATAATTTCTCGCTTAGCGAGTGGCGAATTATTCTGATATACATCCAGATGGCTTATATCGCGAGATCGCCATGATGAAGCGTCGGAAGTGCTTGCCTGTATAGAAGGAATGTCTATCGATGACCCCTTTATTACGACCCAGCACAACGAAATCAAATTTAGCATCCAGTACGAGCGCGATAACGCCGTCCGTTGGCGAGACCTCTTGCTCCGTCGTCAGTCCGACAGCACTAAAACCCTTCGCCGGTTGCTCCTAGGTGCCGGCACACAGGCCATCCAGCAGCTTCAAGGTGGGTTTTTATTTCGAACAATGAGCGCCATTTGTACTGGAATCTCCGCTAATCAACTGTGGGGTGCTAAAGGGATAAACATCATGAGTTATTATTTGCCGACGGTGTTGATGAATTCAGTCGGACTCTCGAATAGCCTGGCTCGACTCTTGACAGCCTGCAACGCGACGTCATACTTTATCTTTTCATGCCTGGCAGTCACAGTGGTCGAAAGACTTGGCCGCCGAGGTCTAATGATGCTCTCTGGTTTTGGTCAGTTCGTCTGCTTCCTAGTAATTACCATCCTTCTTCGTTTTGCGGAGATTGATACGGTATACGCGACTGCGTCCGTTGTCTTCTTTTTTCTGTACCATATAGCATTTGGCATGGGAATGCTCGGCGTGCCATGGTTGTATCCAACCGAAATCAACTCCTTACCCATGAGGACTAAAGGAGCAGCGGTAGCAACAGCGACAAATTGGTATGCAATGTCCAAGGCAATCACTAACGTGCTTCGAACTAACGTGGTCATTCAAAAGGATCACAAATTTTGCCATTGTTGAGATTACATCCATTGGGATCCAAAACATTGGATGGAAATTCTGGATCGTGTGGACTGTGCTTAATGCAGTCTTCCTACCGATTATTTACTTCCTATATCCGGAGACAGGTCAGTCGACACAAAATAGCTGTCCAATTCGTGAACTAGATACTAATTGTGCTGCAGCAAACCGAACGTTGGAAGACGTGGATGCCTACTATCGGTCCAACCCGCCATTGATCGTAGCCGGTGATCCAGATGCCACTTCGACAAAGCGTCCCCTCAGGTTCATCCAGCATGAAGATAATGAAGTCCAGAGGAGAGCGAAACAAACCGAGTCTCTGGCCTCGAAGGGCGACGAGTTTGCCAGTGCGGAGCATGTAGGTTGAGTTATGCTCCTCCTGACAAAGTAAACGTCCCATCCGTTGACGATGTCATCGATATACGACTGGAGAAGTACTACTATCTACAAGGAACTCTATGAACCACTCAAATCTATCTTGTATCCTTGCTTTCTTGTTCTCCCTTTTTTTTTTTTTTTTCCTGGTCTTGATGGCTAGGTTGTATTCGCCTGACTTTCTGTTTTTCCTTTTCTTTTTACTTGCCTTTTTTTTTTTTTTTTTTTTTGTATTTTTTTCTTTTTTTTTTTTTTTTTTTTTTTTTTTTTCTCTTCATCTGTGAATGCACTGCACATATGTATAGTCGTCTCGGAGATATCTCCGAGACCGAGAAACCCTACTTTGTATACCGTAGAAGTGACTGACCTACACGGGCCGCCGGAGTAAATATCCGACAGAACCCATGGGTCCAAGGTCTGGACTAGACTAGAGTTGTTAACAAGTCTCAACTGTGACCGCTCCGAACCAAATAATTATGGATAAGTACAGTTTAATTCAGGATGGTATACGAAAATGCTGAATTGGGCATAACCGTAGACCATAAAGTTACTAATGCCGACTCGTAGTCATTGACACAATATTTTATCACGTGACGAAGCTGCATACGATGATACGAAGCCTCATTCCTCCTTCTAGTAAAATATATAAATAACTCCGTATAACATTTAGTATATGGGCTTACAGCATTTTATGGAATGCTGGGTCTGACCATCAATGTTTAACTTATGGGAATCACAGGAATGTGAGTGGGAGCTCATGGCTGTTTCAGGACCATCCAATGCCTGCGCCTTGTACAGTTGGATATAAATGCATATCGCAAATTCTAGCAAGGTGATAAAACAAAATGATTGTAGTACCACACTGGGTTCCGTTCTTCTCTTCTCCGCCTGCAGCACAGGGCAACAAGATAACCCCCTTTGCTGGCAAAGCTAAAGCTTTTTATTAAGCTTTAGGAGCGTCGTGCTTTCAACCCAAGATCAAGGTTTTTAGTGATTTAAGCGATTGACCGCCCAAAATGCCCAGAAGTGTCGAGTTTGAAACCGAAGAACTGGAATGCGAGAGAAAAAAGGAATTTCAGGCGCCCTGCCAAGCTTTAAGCCCTTGCCCCTAGCCGGCCTAAAAGGATAACGATGATTTCCATCGATCTCGGAGCATCTTTTTGTTAGGTCCTGTGTCAAAGCTCCAGCTGGGATCACTGTTTTTGATTGAATCAATCTTCTTTCCCATAGGGCTGGGTGAGCACTGGCTGGCTAGTTACTAGGCTCGGGAACTAACTTATAAACCCCTTGGGTCATCATAATGATAGTCAATATTCCGGGGTACACCGCCACTATCCGTCTCACGAACCTTCTTGCGGAGAAGGCGCTGTGATACGTGGTTAAACTTACCTTGGACGCCTGATATCCGAGGCCCCTTGCAGCAATAGAGCAATATTATACTGCGACAAGCAAATTCCAAGCTGCCTGCGTTGTTTTTATTGTACTTACGATTGGTGTGTTTGCACCCAGGGCTCAAGGAACGCATCTGGGAGGCCTGACAGAGATACCTCTGTCTTTCTATGTATCTCTGATAGGTCACAGCTAGGTCATGGCGAGGCTATACACTTTGGTTCATGGCGGATACGAGTATAGCGAACATTGATGAATGCTACAGGAGCTCAAGTATATAAACCCCCCGTCTTCCGCTGCTCTACATTTGCATAACTCATCAGCTCAAGATACCCTAGCAAATTAAGCCTCATCTTCTAGTTTGAACTCTCGCATTCATTCCAACTTCAAGAATCTCCTTCCTCTTTTCTTTTCAAGATGCGTTTCTCCCTTGCTTCCGCCGTCGCCGTCATGGCTGGTTTCTCTGCTACCGGATCCGCTTTTGTAATCGACACCTTCAGTGGCACCAACTGCGACAAATCCGTCCAAAAGGGCGTCAACACCTGGGACAACACCTGTGCGACTTGGCCCAAAGGTTTCAAGTCTTTCAAGATCACAACCTGGGGCGGCAAGGGTCAGTACGCATACTTCTTCGCGCCGAATAACTGCGGAAGCCTTCCTGGGGCTATTAAAGGAGGCTATGTGGATTCCACAACAAAGACTTTCAAGCTTGGACATTGCTATAACTTCAATGGCGCATCTGCCAATGCAATTGCTTCGTACTCTGGGTGATAAGTATGAGAATTCCACAAGGTAAGTAAGCTCTTATGTCACAATGGTTGAAGGGAAGCTAACTGTATCCTAGGAGTATAGTGGTATTCTGAATCGCTGCGGGAGGAGACATGGAAAGAAGGATTCATTCGTTTTGCGCAGGTTTAGCAAGAGACTCTCATTCACGTTTTCCTTTATCAGTCTAGTATGTTGGACATTCTGGCCTGAAATGGTTGATATAGGCAATTCAAATCTAGCTGTTTCTCAAATACACTTTGGTGATTTTACATTCATCTAGAAGAATAGTTCCTTCAGGCTTTACTGTAGTAGTGTGTGGTTATGATGCTGATAAGCTAGGTAAGCTATAGGTTATCTAAATAGGTTAGGATCTGAGTCCAGACCTTAGATACATGATGGGCTCTGCCATAGTAGTTTATTTGTACTGCTAGGAAACAAAGAAATCAGAAGCAAGGATGCCAGGCACTAGATCTATCTAGCATCATCTCCAACAAAATAAGCCAATCCCACTCGATAAAAATACCAATGGAACTAAAGTCGTGCCTTGTACACATTTTCCTCAACAGGATATACAGCGTCGTTGGTAGCCTTGGCTGACGCCTTCATCAATTCTGCAGACCACAGCTCGACCACGGTTGTAAGCCGATCTCTGTAAGTATCGAGAACTTGAAAACTAGAAGCCCGAATTCTGTCTAAGAGTTCGGCTTTTTCAGTTTTTTTTAGAGTTCCGTTGATGGCATTCCGAAACTTGTCCTTCTCCTCGTCATTCCAATCCGACTGCGTAATCACTTCTAAAAGACTAGTTCTATCATCAACAAGCCTGTCGCCAACCTTTGCCAACGTCCTGTTGCTGACCTTGGCCGATGCTTTAATCAATTCTGCAGACCACGAATTGACCACTTTTTTCAGCCGACCTTTGTAGGATTCTGGAACTCCTGAAGCCTGAATTTTGCGTAAGAGCTCGACCTTTTCATTTGATCCCAGGGTTCCCTTAATTGCATTGGAGAACTTCTCCTTCTTAGTGTCAGACCAATCAGCCTGCATACTAACCACTTGTAAAAGACCAGTTTTATCTTTATCATCGATAAGCGTCTCGACAATGTGGACCGCGCACTGAGCGGTTCCCACGCCAAGTGTCCACCCAGACCCTCCGTGTCCATAGTTATGAACGAGGGGAAATCCACAGTCCTCATCAGCCCTGACCTTGACGTTCTTCTTGGTAAATGGCCGCAAGCCCTGGGCGAAAGGAAAATGACTCACAAATCCTGCGTGGCTCATACTCGGCATAAATTCTCCTGCCCGATCCCACATCTGCTGGACCTCAGGCGATTCAGGGCTCAAGTTCATATTCTCGGTATGTGGTTGGATGATGGAACCCACGTAGAGGATATCGTCACTCCGAGGTACAATGAACACAGTCTTGGAAGGGAGACCATCGGGCCCGATCTGTGCAGGAACTAAATAGGCGTCATTTAAGTGCCGGAACTTGCTGTGGCGTGTATTCTCAACGCGACGGATGGCGCCACGAACGGGGTAAACATCTTCATCGTTGACCAGCTCTCTAGCACCAAGACCTGTGGCATTGACAATCGCATCCGCTTTGTAGTCCATCAGCAACCTTTGACCGGTTTCCCTTAGATCTTTCACCTCTCGGGTCTCGAGGGTTGCCCCCTTTCGCTGGACAAGGGCCATAAGATAGGCCAACGCTTTGTCGGTATTGATAATCGGAGCCTTATGGGTGTAGCCGCTTTGAAACTGTTTTCCGCCGTAACTTAGATTGATAAATGATCTCTCGAACCTTTGTGCGATTGCTTCTTTGTCCGGGTACACTTCAATACCGCCAATCAGTGTTTGGACGGCGGCATATTTGTTGTGGTGTTCATATCTGGGCGAGGCCTTGCTGCATGAAGTGATGACATCTTCATAGAAGAATTGATGGAGTTTGGCAATGGAGAGACCCAACGAGGAGCCTCCTTTCTCGTGTTCGTTGAAAACTTTAGCATATTTCATGTAGAAATTGTAGCTTTGCATCGCCCATTCTCGATAATGTTCCACGGTAGCCCAGCCAGCGCCTGGGGATTCGATTTCAGTCAAGCCACACCCCCCGGGGGGCATCTCCCACAAAGCCCCTGCAATTTGAGATGTGATACGGGGCTCGCCGAAGTCCCAAGTGCGTGCCCACTCTTTGGAAAGAATTGTCACTCGGATGCCTTTGTCCAGAAGCATCCATGCGACTAACAATCCACTGACACCACCCCCGATGATTAGGACGTGCCGGCTTTCAGCGTTTAGTTCGTTCAGCGGAGTATCGCTCGTCGACACTTCAAAAGGACGTGCCCCTTGAGTGTATCGGCTGGGGTGTACCGTCACTGTGTGTGCCGTTGACATGGTGCTTAGATTGGGGGAAAGCGAACGAGTTCAGCGATAGAGCTGGAAGATGATTACTTTGGGATGCTTAGTACTTTACATCGGCTTGGACGGAATAGTGGATTATAACAGATAGCTTCAAAGTATTTATAGTCTGAGATCTACTAGCACGTATGCGATGACACACTTTGTAGTATTGCTTCAGTTGGACACGAATGTTTCGTTTGCTATGAGGGATATTCATCCAGCCTCGCATGTCTGAAGAGTCTCCAATGAAGGTGCTTTGCTGGTCGAACTCCCCTTCCTTCACAATAGCAAGCGTCTAATCATATGCAATGAAGCTTGCACATGTAGCTCGTGAAAGAGCGTCTGATGACCAGCTCGTGTTCTCATGAGCACCGGAAGTCCAATGCGTTATTCGGAGTGGTGAAACCCTCTCCTACAAAGTAGAATTGCGCTATACCATGCTTTTCCAAATGGATTGACATCCACCACGTTATGCATCCCAGATGCATGATGCAGGAGGCCACAGCCGTCGTGAACTAAGTGTGTGGGACGAGGAAAGGCCAGATGTACACTTTTTGCTTAAGCAAGGCTACTAGTAAAAAAGTCCAGAGCATGTCGATCAGAGGTCTGTGCTATTGGGGCTCCCCCTCTGATTCTGGACATGATTGGCAACCACTCTACCCCAAATTGAAAGAGGAATAACGACTTGCTTTCAGCTCGGAGCTTTTCAATTTTGGAATAATGCAGAACCAGGGTGAACATCACAAACTATTAACCATGTGGCCTGGTCACAACGAATAGGGACCGTAATAGTACATCAAAGCTTCTATTACTGATATGTTCTACAACGTGTTCAAGCCCACGCAACTTTAGGTTCACGGACCACCCTGCCCGCACGAGCAAGCGCATGCGAGTATATACGTACATGTTGGTCATAGTATGCTGTTGAGATCGTCGGTTTGCCCCTACCTATTCTTGCACCATTAGGCATACATGCAGACCTCCTCATGGACAGCCACAGTGCAGAATGGGTGTAGTAAAAATACAATACACTGGTAGGTCCTAGTGAAGTACTATGTACATCAGTATACACTATTTACCAGCCAGATATCGCTGGACTCTCGCTGTTTACTCGCCTTGTCTGTTCATATGTCGATACACGCTGGTTGTGGGAGGCTAACCTATTTTCAGCGGCAATAGAGAAACTAGGTTCCTCCTCGCCTGTGGTCCCTGCTTGGTGGTACATGTTCTCATTGAATAAGACTATCAAGAACGGGGTCCACAGTACGCTAGTCATTGGGTAACGAATACATTACTAACCTTGGAAACTGTTGCAGTATATTCAACGAGTACGCGTAATAGATATGCTTCCATCATTCGGGCCTATAGGGATGATATGATGTGATGAAGTCTATTGTACATCTGCGTGTAAAGACTACATGACAGGTGATTTCAGGTATGCATTCTCTACAGTGAAGACGGCACTGCATCAAGCCTACTTTGGCAGGAATCTGTCAGTAGAGTTTTGAAGAGCACTGAGCGTGGCCTGTGAGCAATTGCGCTAACACCTGGGAGGGAGTATTTCGCGAACCGGAAACCATTTATTCTATGAGAGGCATTGCAATCCAGTACCCTTCGGATCAATATTCCTACTGCCAAGACCAAAGTGAGGCTCTAGCGGTGGAGGTAGTTTGAGTAGTACCAATAAACGCGGTACCCCATCTTAAAGCGTGAGTGTCACTCTAATTGGATCTAGTTGATACGATGATCAGTCCCGTGGCTGGGTCATGTTCGCCAGCTAGTTGAGATGTGCCGGAGGGATGTGAAGATCACCATGCACGAGCACAAGTGATCTGTTCTAATGGTATGGAATAATGGTTACCTATCACAGGTTCTAAGCTGTTATATTCGTGATGTCCTGTTATGTGCCTACTAAAGCCGTGGCAGAGTCAATGGTAACATTTCTGAAATATCCCTCACTCCAGGATACTAAGTTGTGAACGGGATCCGCTGTCGTTCCTGCCTCGATCTGCCCCGCACAGAGCACAACATCGATTGTCGGTGCATGACTCGCTTGCGATTGAAGGAGAGCCTATCAGGTTCTTCAAACGAGATAGCCTTCATAGCTAGTCGTTCTATTGGGTCGTGAGAAACGAAGCTCGTTATATGACTTGTTCAAATAGTTGTTTTCTATATGGGTATTATTGATCCATGGTTCTATGTAGACTTGGATCTCAAATTCAACCAAATGACTGGGTTGTAAATATCCAGGATTTTTTTCGTTAATTTTTTTTTTCCATTTTTTGATGTTAAAGAAACCCTAGTTCGAATCTTTGTGTACGCTTGTTACTTCCCTTTGGCTCCTGATTTAGCTATTATTGACATATACCTACACCCAGAGCAACTTGGGACTTTAGAGGATATCTTCTGCTGCTCGAGACATACTCCCCACGTGCGATTTGCGGATCGCATCTACGACATTATCCGAAGCTCGAACAGAACGGAATCATCGGGACGGCGAATTGATCACAGCCAACATGGCAGTTGGCCCAGTCCGCGAGCGCTGATAATAGCTATAAAATACAAGTAGCACAGGAATGAGCCCGGACCGGCCTAGGGCTCTGATATTCTGCCTTATTCTGCTCACCTTACTTCCCCAGAATAATAAGCTAAGTCTAGATCAGGGCCATGAGGAACCCGGAGGCGATTGTGACATTAAGACCATCTCACGTGAGTGGAAGATAGTCCACAAGCATGGGATGCATCGTTACATGGATGCAACAGTGGCGTATCGCTCAACGTGCCTGTGGGTGATTGAGTATCTGAGGAGGGGTGGGTATTGTGGATATTCCCCATGCGTGTACTCTTTCCTAGCGCCATATTCAAGCTGTAGATTGACCACACTTTCATATTCCCCCTCTATAGCATATGTGAGTGCTGTCTTACCATGCCCGTTTGCGCACTCCAGAAGAGGAGGACCCTTTTCAATTAGCAGCCTAACCACAGCCTCGTGTCCCTGGCTAGCAGCCCATATCACTGGTGTGCACTCCTCGTCATCTTCATCCTCCAGATCAGCACCCCTTTCCAGCAATAACCTGACCACATCCTCATGTCCATGAGAAGCAGCGCATATTAGTGGTGTAGAACAATCAAGATCGGTGCTCTCTATATCCGCACCCTTTTCGAGCATTGTCTCTATAGGTATTTTATATCCTTTTTCTGAATACCACAGCAGCAATGAGCTTCGAGAATATTTGATCTTATGGTTATATCACGCGTCTATTTGTTCAATAGAATAAGTGCGGGAACATGTCCTTAACATAAAAAGAGCATCCTTCTCACTCGGTAGACTTTCAATGATCAGAAGTAGTAACTCATTTGGAAGGTCGAGGAGAGACATTCTACAAGGCAAGGGTAGTAGTCTAGTGCTCGAAGGGCCTTCCACTAAAGTTAAGTAGGATTGTTTACTTTCTTGATTGAAGGACAAACGGTTTCTTCTGCGTCTTGAAGTGGGGGTAAAGAACGAGGTTCAGCTCAGCCTCAGCTGAACAACCCATTGTATGATCACATGACCAATATACACACTATGCACAAGGTAGTAAGGGTTGTACTTTTCCATAGTAGTAGTGGTGCAGGTTAAGCAAGACCTCTACTGTCTTTCCTTCAAAACCTAATGACGCTTCATTAAGTGCGTATGCAGTACCCCAAAGAAGATATATTCTTGTGGATTTCCAAACTGAATCCCACATTCATAAGATCAACGACGGCGTAGGCATTGATATTAAGATATCACCCGATAGATTCCCACACCGAATGATGGTCTCATAGAGAAAGCCTTTCAAGATCCTCACTAGCATTTCCATGCGAAAAGAAATTGCTAATATTCGAACTCTTCCTCTTCAACCACCGCTTCCACCACCACTCCCCCTGCTGATCCTGATGCACATCACAAGGCAATAAAATAGCATGATCCAACGCATGCGGCAGACCACGATGTCTCCCACGCACCTGCATAGCAATAATAATCAACTTGGACACCGGGTTAAACTGCGCGCTGAGACTCGTTTCCGTCTTAGGATATCCCAACGACAGTCCCACTGTTCCGTATGCGGAGACGATCTCGAACAGAAGTGGGAAAAGAGAGAAGGCGAGATCGTGGCCGTGGGTTTGTTGAATCCTCTTGCCCTCTGTGACGGATATGAGGAAGAACCCGAGCATCACGTACCACAGGTCGAAACCGAGTTGACGCTGGATGTGTGCGGCCAGGCCGTGGGGGTTGGGCTTGTCCTCATCGTCGTAGATACCGAGGCTTTTTTCTTCGTAGACATTCGTTTTTCGGATAGCGATGGCGATTGGGAAGGCGGAGATGTACATCATGACTACGAAGGAGACTTGGACTGCAGGATGGAGTGCACCGAGAGAGGTGATTGAGAAGCCGGCCGTTCGGGTGGAGGCGATTTGGAATAGGCCGTCTACGAGACGGAGGCCGGGGGAGAAGGGGTTGTTGCTTTGGGGGTTCTGTGTCGGAGATGGCTACTTAGTTTACACCTTCGTCGATGTGCTATACAAGTGTGGAACTCACCTCTTGAAGTGTGTAGAAAACAAAAAGGTCTAGAGCGTTAAGCAGGAGAAGGACACCGGCTAATCTCCAAGTCTCTGATCCAGGAAAGAGCATGGTGAAACATCGTCGGGGATGTTCGAGCAGATAATGTAACTCGTCGTCTAAGGGAGACCCATATCTTGTAAATTTGGTTAATAACCAGATAATTAAGCGCAGCATGCACGGAAAGCCGGTGTTCCCGATCACCACCAGAAAGGTCATCACTAATAGTGGAAATGCGGCGTTCCTGAACGAAGACATTGAGTCGGGGCTCAAAGTGTATCCCAGGTCATGGAACGCAGACCCGGCGGTAAATACGGCCCACCAAGGTCGGTTCAAGCCCATGTCTTTGACCATCTCACTGTAATGTGAGTCCGTCATAATCCACGGAATAAATAGTATAATGCCGAGCAAATGGAAAGCCAGAAAGTAGCAGACCAAGATGACCATCAATGTTTTCAGCGCCCTGTATTCGATCCCTCCTAGCTCCTCCTTCTGATCTTCATCCCAGTCCGAATAACTCGCAATCGAATGTTGCCACATCAACGACGGCAAAGCAGGCATGTTGGAGCTGTCGGTCCGTGGGAAAGCCTCGTTCACCGCCTCGGAAAACGAGCGACGACGAGAAAAAGAGGATCGCCGCTTCTGTCTGGCTTCATAGTCCCTGTCAGATTCATAAAATGTGATTCGAGGACTTGAGGGGCCTATGGCCGCTGGCTTGAAAGTCTGGTAACCGACGGGCGATGAGCCCTGAACGGGGGTCGGGGGGGATGCTCCAGGGGAGATCTCGTCATCTGTACTTCCAAGCAGGGGTTGCTCTTCGTCGTCCCTATCTGAAGAGTCGAACGCAGTCGTGGTCGTATCAGTCGTATCCGTAATGGTTCTATTCAAGCCTATCGGCCTTCGGGCCTCATAGTCAAGTGCCTGGTTCATCCGCTGCCGTTGACGGTGGCATACTGCTTTGGCCTCACGGATGGCACTCTTGAAGCGTTTCCGAAACCAATAAATCCTGATTAAAACCAGTAATGAATGGAGGAACACTACGTTTGTGACCATGGGAACCAGCCATAGCGTTATTTGTTGTGAAATATGCAGGTCTTTGAGGTCGATGGGATTGAGCCCGGTTTGGGTGGCGGCACCGGAGGCGAGAAGTAAGGCATCGACGAAGCTTAGACCACCCGGAATGTAAAGAATGATTGATGCCAGCAGAGCCCAGATGATGATATAAAAGTAATGATGGTGAAGTCGTAAGGGGGAGGAATCAGCCTGTGGCTCCGGGTAGGGGGGCATGGATGGACGAGGGGCTAGTCACGATACACCCTCCAGATGGTCTGCGGCACGGATGTAAGTAGGAGACGAAAGAATTCACGATCGTAGCAGTGGGAGAGAGTGACATGGCTAAAATAAATATTGTGGGATCATCGTGAAGTGAGGAGGTCACAGTTGAGTGGCTGCGGATATCCTGAGAAATGCCGCATTCCTATGGGTCCAATGCGTTTGGCCGGCACCAACGTCCTGTTTTTGTAAGCCCTACAAAAAGCACGTAACTGTAGCTCCTGTGGGGCTTTGATGGGCTGGAAGGACTCCGTACCAAAGGTTTTCCTCGACCAAATCCTGACGCAATTGTGCGACAGGATCAAGGAGGCAACAGCTGAAGGAAGGGAGGCGAAGTTTTAGGGCCAGACCCAATGATTGCTCCGTTTAATCGCTCACGCTCCCGCCATTGACATCAACGAATTTTCCCTGGACCCAAGGATCGACAACCTTAATCCGTATAAGCATAAGCGAGGAAGAATGAGGAAGGAAAAATCAAGGCAAAAGGGTAATATTGAATTATATAAACGTCAGCCCACTGGAGCCATCTCGTATCATTGCGATGGTCCCGCCACGTGCTACATTTATATATAGAACTTTTCTTGACGGCTCTTGATACGATCGTTGTGTTAAACGTTCCCCTCGTTTCTTATATTACACGTCAATCCACGAGTCTTCATACATACGAAACAGCAATAGCTCCATTGGCTCATACCAAAGACTGGTGTGTAGTTGGATTCATGAGGATACGGACATATGACCTCTGATCACGATGTAAATACAGTGACCAAGATGGTGGATCCTCCTACCACATGAAACGGTAATCCATACAAAAGGGTTATATGTGGATAAAAAATAGAATTGGACTTTTCATCTCGAATACTACAAGGTGAAAATCTGGGTGGTAGAAATATCGAGGACATGACTTCTCCTTCCACCATTCACTGCCTCCATGACCCTCCCAACAACGATTCTCACCTGTCATTCACCATCCTACTCCTTCACTCACACCGCATGTCCTTCTGTCGATTAGGTTATTTCCAATCACCATGGCAGAGTCACCCGCTAGTATTCTCAAGCTATCTGTACGTGAACTATATCAATATCAACAAATCTCAACCACAGAAGACTCAGACAATGTAGCTTCCATTGACAAATGAAGATCTCGGACGCCTCATCAGACGTATCGAGAAACACAGTTCATCCGAAAATACCCTCACTGTTACTTTCGCGCAGGAACATGTATAGTCCATCTCACTGGAGAAGTCTAATCTGCAGATCATAACATGCGGGAAGGTTTCACAGGTACCAGCGAGCGGTGACACAGCTACGAAGGCCACACAAAGGGCCAAACGCGTGAAGGTATGTCGCGTCCTGTCCAGACCTTCTAGGCCATGAATGACAAAGGGACTCGTTTTAGAGACCGTCCAGCTTGAAGCAAGAAGTGCTATCCCAGAATGACAAGAAAGCAGTCCATAACCAGTCAGACAAATCCTCAGCGACCCAGTTGGCCTTAGGCATGATCAACATCGCAAACCTTAGTGAACAAGAGACAGCGGACCTGATCACAGTTATGTGTCCGGCCGATTTGGCAGGTGTGAGATGCAACCAGTCGGATTGCAAGTTTCTCAGGCGATGTGAGGTCAGTTTCACATATTTCGTCCGTCCCTTAATAGATACTGATACGGTACTTATTATATACTTCCACTGGTTGACAGTCACTGCAAGAGCATGAATCGATCACCTGTGCCATGGAAAGATGCACCTATATCCACGGGTTGAAAGTTTCGTGCCCGAAGATCCTCGACAAGAGAGGTTGTGTTAGGTTTTTTCTTTCTCCATTGAACCCGAGTCACTGTAAGTTCGGCCATGACCATCGCGCAGCGCGGCTGTTCAACTACAAGGAGGGTTCTACGTGTCATGGGGTGTTGAATTTGGAACCTAACAATCAACGTCGGCTGAGTGGTCAAGGACCGACTGATTTTGGACTGGTACCTCGGGCTGACACAATTTGATTCATAAAGAAAGGAAAGGATTACAAGGCCTCAGTGCAGTAATGTGGTTGAAAGCAATGAACCGGCTATGGTGACGTTTGGAGTCTCTGCGCTTGGCCTTTGTGGGAATGTCGGGCCAGTGGCTTCCATTTCTAGGAACTAGTGGATGATATATTGAGGATGTATTAGCTAGCATGTGGGTGAGTTTAAGTGGTTCAGATAGACCCTACGACCGCAGACACGATTTGAATCACATTCATCTAGGACAGTGATCGAGGAGGTGTATCTTAGTGACAAGGCTTTTTATGTACTTCTCCCGATTCCGCTATCAAAAGCCAATCTCATTGAAATGAACATACGCACTTCCTCTAATATTATGATTATAGTACTATTAGCCAATCTACATCATTGCCATGACTGAATTAGTACTAAGTTGAGATTAAACATATAGAGTGGAAAGTCCAGTCCTTCTGATTGTATACATTAGCTACTACTCAGGACAATTCCTCTAGGCGCCTGGAGGCCGTAGCAAGGCCACTACATGATCTTCGCACTATGAAAATTGTGAATACTCAAAGGCTCTTTGTTCACCCAAGGCCTGTTGTCTACAATCACATGATCTAGGACAGTATCAAAGACCCTTCTTTATTCATAAATTCAGCAAAAATTAATAAAAATCTTATCTTCAATTGAGCAAGTTGGAAACCAACACAATTGTACGTGCCCCCTCACCTGTGCTTACCCATCATGGGCCCTGAGACAAATGCTGACCTCACTCAGCTGTTCTATTACTGGTGAAGACTTGAAACTAACAATGGACCTAAGAATGTTGCCGTATATGCATGGCTATTATGACACTGTCAGCACAGGCTACTACTCATTCAGGACCGCTCGTACAACTACCCCTCGCCTGTGTCCAAGCTATGGCTCGTCTCTAGGGTAGGCTGATGAGATGTTCCTAAATAGAGGCCTACCGTGCGCGATGCGTCCATCCAGTTCCGCGACCTCTACGACTGCCAAATGCGTCGCGCTGCTGCGTGACGCAGAATATCCCAATTATAGTTCCAGACAGATAGCTTTTAGAGCTGACAGGCGAGACCCAAACATACCGAAGGAGGTATGAACGGCAGTGATCATACGGCCATTCCTGGGTCATGCAACATCACACGCTCTGTCCTATTGTCGCGGATTACTATAGATGAGACCCCGAAAAAGGCGAAGGATCGTTGTCAGTCCGTAGACATGGCGCTATCAAACCCGTGCTTTATAGTACTATTTTAATTTAAGTTCAAATATACATAGAAGTATTGCTTATGTTTATTTTATTTATTTTTATTTTTTCCTGCCAGTCCGTAGGGACCGTCTAATTTATTAGCGGCCCGACAGTTGTCCAGGCGTGCAAAGAGCACCCCATGATCTGGGAGGGTAGGGAAAGTTGTTGAACTACACCCGTGCTGTACTTACATAGGATAAGGACAAGGAATAAGGGCCAAGGTCCTCGGTAGCAAGAGGAGGTGAAGTTGACCGAGGCGGAGAATAGGTATAGGTGAGAGAGGAGCAGAATCCAGGGTCTTGGAGTCAGTCTGGGATCGTCACTCCAATCGGATTTAAGCTTCTTGGTTGGGTGACGATCAAGGAATTAAATCGAGTCTTGATCACAGGCCTAGGCTACGTTACCTGAGACTTAGCCAATCAAAAGGCTGTTGGGCTGACATCCGTTCTTACTAGTCCAACGCCGTCTTTTATAAAATGACATCGATGGGTCGATCCTGACACCCATTCTCCGCCCCCTTCTTACCCGGTCTTATCACTCACACATCGCCCACACTATCTGCTGCAACAACGTTCCCAAAATGTCCACCACCCGCTATAAGGACCCAATCCCCGAGGGTGTCTGCGTCTTCACCACCCTTGACGAAGCCGCCAAAATTCAACAGGCGAACCCGTATGCCATTTTCTATCCCGAGAACAACGGCCACTACGCGAAGGATCCGGACGGGACTGTCGTCGCCGTGGCATCGGACGAAATGTGTGAGGAGATTGACCGCAGAAACGCCGAGTTGGAAGCGAAGATTGCCGCGGGCGAGAAGCTGACGGATGAATATGCGGTTTAGGTGAGAGGCCAGCCACCACCGATCCTTCGGGGATGGACTTTTTGGTAATCTGAGAAACAGGGATGATGAGCCATGCTTACGGGGCCGTGGGAGGTAACCGGAGTGGTACGATGAGATGAGGGATAAACTCGAGGCATTCAAACTGTCTTGTGTCAGCTTATAGGGAGGGAATTATCACTACACTGTACGGGTATTTAAGTCGCCCATGTCTCCCTGAGCAAAGCCAGTCTATCATCCATCGTTCTTCCTGAGTATTAGAAAATACAAGTAAACCAAGCAGCCTCCAAACCTTTTTTTGAACTTCCTGTCTTATTCTCTTGACAATGCTTTCCACTGTCGTCCTTCGCAAGCTGCTTCTTATCAGCCTAGCCGCTACGGCCTACGCAGCTACCACTCGCTATAACACCCCCCTCCCTGATGGCGCTATGGTCCTAGACACCGAAAAGGACCTCCGAGAATTTACTGCCTCCCACCCAGATGTCGATCTCGAGACTGCAAACGGCGGCTACACTATTAAAGAGCCTAATGGTCCGATCTTGGCTTACGTCGGGGACAATCTGAGCAACGAACTGGACGGACGAATGAAATCCTTGGAGCTTTACGAAAAGCTCTCGGCGGAGAAAGGCGTGTCGGAAAACGATGTATCCAAGGTCTTTGAAACCGCCCGTGGATGTTCCCATCCGCACTGTGTTTTCCCTGGTGTTCCAGGCAAGTGCGCGCATTACTCTGGTTGCTATATCTGCTCCCATGGCCATCGTTGTATCTAGTCGGCGACAAACAGGGCAGCTGTCTGCGAGACTGTTCATTAAAGCTCTAAAGAAGAGCTTTAACAACTCCAATCTTCTTTCTCTCTCTCTCTCTCTCTCTCTCTCTCTCTGTGTGTGTGTGTGTGTGTGTATCTTATGTGCATCTTCTCGAGACACCGTCGGATACATGTAGAATATTAGCATGTGGGAAAACTGTTGATCCTAGTCGCTACATGAGAGTAAATTCTTAGATAAGCTTTTGAAACATGTAGAATGTCTTGTTAGCTGCGTTAGACAAAGATGGATATAAGAACATGTTCAACGGAAGGCTGAAGTGGGATGTAAAATACCATAGAACCAGATCATCATAGTGCTCTTTTTATAACAAGTATCCTCTTGGGAGGGTTGTTTCAAGAGGAGATGGGACATGTGAGCATCCACATAGAGCAGGCGCCGACATGAGGTAATCACAGCCATGGGAAACTTGGAAACGGGTAGGGCAGCTTACAAGAGAGTGGACATAGATGTAGATTGTTTATAAAGCGAAACAGGGGTGATTGGAAGCACAGGAGTGCCCTAGGGTCGGACGTGGACAAATATCCATGCAGAGAAGCTCTGGGGACACAACTTGTATTTCCTATTGTAGGTTCATCCGCAATGGCCGAAGATAATTACTGGGGAAATTATGTACTCGACTTTCTTTGGGACTTCGCTTAGATGGTCACTTACCTAAGATCCTAAGGGGTGTGGAGAATCGTCTCAGAAAAGCATCCATGCCCCTATCAACGCTCAGTCTACAGAGGCTGGACCGAGTCAATCTCTAGCGCGCGTAACTTAACTAAACTTCAGCCGCTGCAAAAGAATCCTCATCGTCTCGTAAAGAAAAGGAACTTGCAAAAGCGCGGTTGAATCGGCTATCTGGTAAGATCGGAGATTGCCATTGTTTTGAGACACTATAAGAATAAAGATGCTGTGGGATGTGAATGCAACGTCTTCTATCACTGTTCCATGGCCTGTGGGTGATGTCTGAGCCCACGGCTTGATTGGCGCAATGCAAAACTCTTGCTACGCGTTCCAACACCAACCTATACGGTTCTCGTTGAAACTGCTCCCATTCAAGCGTGCCAGGTGCTAGGAGATGGGCGTTTACCATGGTGGCTGAGAATGAAGATAAGAAATTTTGCATGCTTCAAGGACACAAGTAAGATGTTCAGGGAATCGATAGTCAAGCGTTAAAGGATCAAGTATGAGGATGGAAATAGAGTCAAGAAGTGGAAGTGTTGAGGCAGTCGGATCGAAAGCGAGAAATAGCAACACCAAGTGAGAGATTGTCGTTTCTTTCGCCTTACTTCATACCCCGCTGTATTTACTCTATTCTCGTACTCTTCAATTGCTTCTTCTGCTCCTTCCAGATTCTTAATCGGTTCCCATGTATCGAACTCTGGTGGCTATATATCCCAATCCGGGGGATATAAAAACTGCTGCTTATGATCGGGCTCCTGATAGGTGTTTGTGATATAATCGATATATAAGCAGGTCTCGTGATCAAATTGCTTAGTAGGCTCTTATTTGCCTAGTTGCCTGAAACGCTGGAGGTCATGTGCCTGTTGTGTCAATGAGGCAGTGCTTTTTTTGGTTATTAGGCCATTATTAGGCTATTTGACTGCGGTAGACGAGTGATGGCAATTGATGAAAGTCAATAGAAAACGATTAGACGCAGAAAACAGTAGATAAGTGGGTCAGAACTAGTCGGCTCTGCTTCACGCGGAGACTGGCCTGCGAGTAACTGACAACGACTTCGTGGAGTCTCGCCTTATTTAACAAATTGATATAAACATTGATGAAATCAGATGAAATCAAAAAAAAGCGATGGTAAGGGCTCTCTGGGACCACCATTTGTTATGCCTTACGCATGGAATATGATTGATGGTCCACCAAATTATCGTTGTGGTGCTCCGTCTGTCTGCCGCACGTATTGTATAAGTAGGGCACGCTTTTTCTACAGCTGGGCTGTGTTAAGCGTGGGTAAAAATGATCTAACCGATCAGACCAAGAAAATTCAATCATAGCACTATAGGTCAGACGATTGGCAGGCCTCTCCAAGAGCTTATCGCTGGAAAGAGCAATAAGTTGTTAGAAGGGTCGCACTGCTCATAGATGACACAAGGAAAGGTCAGGTTGACTCGCATACTATGAGGCCTGGGAACGGCTTGCAATTGGTGTTAGATCAAGTTTCCCCGGTTCCCTAAATAGTTGGGATGCTGATAGGAAGAAGGCGAAAAGCGAAAGGTTCAGTAAGAAAGGAGGGGAGATTATATAGTCGAAGAATGTCCTATTGTTTGTGGGCTCTTTCTTCTAGTCAAGTAGGACCCTTCACAGGTAGGGTGACCGGGTCTACATGAAGGTATCTCCTTCAATCGAGGTGCTGTCTACGTAGTGCATTGCCCACAGTGAAAGTCGTCATGGAATATTCTCCTGCTTGGGATTCAATGAGATACCTTGAGATCACATAGAATATAATGACCAGAATAGTAAGGGGATAGTCCGCCACAACAGCCCCCTACAAGTGTCACTGGTGCGATCATACAAGGGACTCCTAAAGTTTGATTTATACAATCTTGTTGTGTGAAGGGCTAAACATGATGGAGCTTCATTGCTAAAGAAAAGTGGCGCTCTCCAGTGAACTCTAGGCTATCAGCACTCGAGCCTTCCCAGCAAACGCCAATCGTGTTTGCGGACAAAGTCGAGGCTCCAATAGAGCAATACAGTACCCGCACCCAGAAAATATTAGACAGGACTTAGATTGGTAGGAATAGTATAAAGTATTGAATTGGTCTTATTCCTTGGTTACTCACTGCTCGTGCGCCTCGGTATTTTCTAATATAATAGTAAATATAATTTGTAGAGAACTTTTACTGCCTGGCAGGCTCAAAGACCGTACATTGTCTAAAAGCCTTTTTCTCCAGGCAATACAATCAGCAACGGAGTAAGAAAAGCTGCAAGTCTCCTCGAATTAGATATAACAGCTCGTTAGAGACCCTTTAGAATGGATAGCATTTAGTTTATAACCTGGCTGGCTCATAACGCAAGCGGGTCGAAAGGGAGTTTCAGTAACAGAGAAAAGGTATAGATGAACTCGGTTCAACAGAGGAATAAGATGCCATTGAGTAATCCATCCTGGAAGTAAGCAGCAAAAGGGTAAAGAGTAGTCTGTATTAGCGGGTATCCTGCACACGGAAAGCCTTCTTGTCGTCGTTGAGTCTCCATCTCCATTCTCCACCCTCCTGCTTTGTTAGAGCCTTTAGTTCTAAGTCTTAGCTTTTGCATAACCTGAGAGTTATCTTGACGGAAAAAACGACACGTTTTGGCAGCTCAAGCAACAGCAGTGGCATGTGAAGATTTAGGGCTTGTACTATGTTTTACTTCATCGGCACCACTTGATCCTCTCGTCTTGGTGGCTGCTCAATAGTCACATGCGGGTCAACGACCGGGGTAGCTAGGCTTTTACGTACAGGTATATGTCGCTAAGCCTCTCTAGAATGTTACCCTCTCGGTAGGGCAGCCTTTAAACAAAGTCGCGGTCCAGTCAAGATCTTGTTCCTAGCATTAGTCCAGCGGCCAAGAGTGATCTACATTTATAAAGGGGGCTAAATATCCCGTGTCGTCACGGGAATACTATGAATACCGAGAAACTATATTTTGTGAACTGAGGGAGACTGCTATATCATTATATTTTTTGTGTTGCTTATAAAGATGCCGGACTGCTGAACATTCTCCTACTAACACAAAAGGTAAAAAATACTCGCATGTCCCCAATTAGCTATCTAAACATAGCGGATAGTATCATATCAGCTACATAACACTACGATGACCGGGAAAAGCGCAGTGGCTGAGGTTTCAAGGTAGTATATAAGTCTTTTGGCAGTGCTCTCGCTTCTTCTGCCCGGGGCCATTGCTCATCCTGGGGTCCCTTCTGAGCCTCGTTCTGAGCAGCTCGAATCGTGGGATATTAAGCTGAAGTGGCACGCGACCGGCAGCTGTAATGGCAAGGGCGGCGAAGAACGCCAATATAGCAGAGGCAAATGCTTGGGCCTACATGCCGATACTCATGGGGTTGAAATCCTTGACAGCCGCGAAAGCAGCTGCTATTGTAAGGCCCTCGTTTTACCTTACACAAGGGTCTTACTGACTATGTACGGGGTAGTGGCTTCTTATAGTGACGGGAACTGTAAAGACGATGAGAGGCTACTGGATAACAATGGCTGTTGGACTTTGAAGCATAAATGGTCGGTTGCGTTTAAGTGCTAGATATCAGACGTGGTCTCCCGGATGGTAAACCAACCATTTAATCGCGAGAAAGGCGGAGTGGGGGGACTTGGCGTTTATCGCGATTATGTGTTTCGCTCTGCTTGCTGGTTTCTTAATGTCTGGCTGCTCAGGCGAGTTTGATTCTTGCGGTGAGCCACTACAGAGTATAAACGATAAATAATAAGACAGGCGCCTTCGCTATAATGATCCTCTGCAGAGACGGTGGAACGTAATCAGACTATGACGGCGATAATGGAGACACTACAGCTGTCTTCGATGACACAATGCAGCGTTCTAGAAGAATCTACGATTGGCCCGGGATTTCTACTTGTAATGATCAAAGCTATGCAGTCCAACAGCTACCGATCGAGGTCTGACATGTTACGATGGACCCATGATACGGCCTCGGCGGAAGACTGATGGAAGATTGTCTTTACCTTGCTCCAAGCTGTAAGATATAGTGGATGGATCACCAGTAGTGCCACTCCTACCATTGGTGAGGAGAAATGAGTACCTACAAGGAGGGCTAGTCTATGATCTATTATATAAATATAACGGGACCCAAAGTCGCACAGAACAGTGTTCAAGGGATCCAATTGACCAGTTGGGAACTGAATATCTTGAGGTCGATTGGCTTTTACTTATAGTCCATATATTTCTATAATTAAAGCGCCTACTACCCAGCACATAGCATCTACACTGTGAACCGCTTAGATTACTAGAGTAGTATATAAAGTAAAGTAGAGAATATATATCCAATCTAGTATACGGAGGCCTGAAACTGGGTGTTAAAAGTAGATAATGTACCCAAATCAGTACCGGATACGGTCATCACATACCTGGGGAAGAAGAATAAGATTACAATGCAGAAGACATTCTGATCGAGTATATGAGGAAGGAGTACCTTGATTTCATTTGTTCTGGCCCTTGGGTGGATGTCCCAAAGCCCTTATCAGACCCCGAGCGCCACTTGATACCATTTTTTGTTCCCCGCACTTCGAATTTATTCAGGAAGGTGTTTCCGGACATCGCGAATCGGTGAGATATAGACAGATACCATTCTGTATAGACCACAGGTGCTAGTCAATGTCATCATATTCACAACTTAAACATTATGACTAACTTCAAGGACCTCAAGAAGAAAACGTTCAACCGTCGCACGCAGTCTCTTGGTGCGTGTAAGACGTGCAGGAGGCGGCATGTAAAATGCGACCAAACACGTCCAGTATGCAAGGCTTGCAGGTTGGCCGATGTGACCTGCGATGGCTTCGGCTTAGAGATACAATGGATCGGCTGTTCATCAACAGATCCCGATGGTCTCCTAGAAGCCAGCTTGGGCCCTAATGTACGCCGCCATTTGTACACGGGTTAGTACTGTTCGCTCCTCCAACACTTGCGAGCAAGACAGTTCACTGAGAAGAGTGAAAAAGAAAACCAAAGAGAGAAAATGAGCTCAGAACTGGTGAGCGGGCTTGCCTCCCAGTCCATCGATCACAACCTCGCTGAGATCGACACTCAGTCAAGAGATCTTGAGGAACAGCCTGACGGTGAAATATCTATCGGACCGTTTGCGGTATTGAACCTAGTTGGCGGCTCAGAGGCATTCACTGGTAATAAAGACCTAGAGACTCGACTCCCTATCGAATCAACTTTAGAGGGAGACCCACGCGTAACGGATAGTGCACCATTCGCTGAGCTGTCGGTCGGAGAGGACGTGCTCGGAAGCCTAGACAACTACTTGCAATGGGAGGACATATTCAATCTGGACCCTGCTGCTGAACGATGGATGCTAACACCCCCTCCTTCGGGCTATGGCGTCAGTTCAACAGATTTGATGTCGCCAACTAGACCACAGATACCGTTGAATGGCATTCAGGACCCATCCCCTCGGCATGAATTACCGACGCTCCGATGTACGATGGGGAGCCCTGATATTCTATCCGAGGCAAGATTATTGTTGGGCCACTTTCATGAGCATGTTGTGGCCCAAATCGTCTGGGTGCCAATGACACAGAAGTCGATTTGGAACATTTTGAATATCCCATCTGCAATGATAACCCTTGACCAGCTTACCTACATGAAGCAGTTTGCCATAAAGCATGCCAATCTTGCAAATCTCTACGCGATTCTTGCCTGTGCCTCTTATCATCTAGGGATGAATCCACATTACGCTCCAGGCAAGCAGGGTGAATACTGGGAGCACTTGACCATCGTCGCCTATAGTGAGGCGCAAGCTCATATGAACAAGTCACTTGAGTTGGAGTTGCAGGGGCCTCAGAAAGCCAAGTATAAGGAGCAGTTGATGGCTATCTTGGGCCTTGCAACATATTCTGTAAGCATTCTTTCTCTGCTATCTCGCTCATGCCACACCGCTCATTACCGGGTCTAGATATTGTCTCAAAATCATAAGGATACCCGGTGCCATCTCATTAACATGGAATATTTAATCCGATTACGAGGTTTAATCAAACCAAAGCTATCACGCCGAGCCCGGCTCCTTCATCATCAGTATACCTGGATCCGAATACTGACCGAAAGCACACTGGTCATCCACAATCAAATCCCACATTCGGCTCCGTGCAAGGCACTGTGGTCCTGTCGTCTGGACCTAGAGGAGATGAACAGACTAGCGCAGCGTCACGCCACCATTCCTCCCTACGACGGCAGCCGAGGCCTGGATGATTTCCTGCGCGTAGTTCCTACTGATGGTGACAACGATCTAAATATTGACGATCCAAAAGACTCCCAAACTATTCTCGGCGATATCCATCTCGTGGACTCACGAAACGTCCCCGAAGAACTACATACAGCCGTCAACGGCATCTCAGAGACATGGTTGGGTCTTCTCTCGCAGACAGCTCGCCTCGCAAATGTCATGGACCAGGTAAATTTGGGAACCTGCACCATGAGCGCAGAAAAGCACCTGGCTCTCCACCGACGATCTCACTACCTCGAGAACATGATCTGCTCTTTCACCTCCCGGAAGCCGGCCCCCCGGTCGCTTGGAGAGCCCAAAGCCCACATGTGGCAGGCTCTCAACTCCGCCCTGGCTATATATTTCTACCGGCGGGTCAGACAGCTAAACCCATGTATTCTGCAGGGCTATGTGTCTCACATAATTGAAGAGCTGCATAAATGGGACGCCGCCCTTGCTCAACACGAATTGGTGGGGCCTGGAACTGCATGGCCAGCGTTCATGGCTGGCTGTGAAGCCATCGGTCGCGCAGAGCGGGAAGCTATTGTCCAGTGGCTGGAAAAGGCCAGGGAGCGGAGTGGATTTATCTCATACATCACTGCTCGGCAGATTATGGAGGAGGTTTGGAAGCGAAGGGAACAGGGACCGAGATGTACACGGCCAGCACTGCCTGGTGGGCCTATGTCCTTTAGTTGGATGGATTATTCTCGACAGAATTTGCAGTGGTTGCTTCTCTTTTAATACATTCTTGAATTATCATAGCGAGCATTAATATTCATTTACAGCATGATTGGCAGGAATAGGGTCCAAACTAAATGCCACAAATAGGAAACTAATACCTCTATTTTGTTGATCGTTCCCGGTGTATTCACTATTCACTTATCATCTAGCCACTCTGGTTCAGTTCATTTAGAGAAGTGCGATAGTATTAATCAATGCTGACAATATCTAGTTAAGGTCTTATGACCATACCTTCGTTCTACATTTGACCTAGTTAATCTTTACCTGCGCATTCAATAGCAGTTTGTGCAATTCCACCCGATGTTCCTCCTTGAGAAGAGCAAACGGCTTTCGTAGCCCCCCAGTCTTCAATCCTCTAAGCTCGACTCCAGTCTTCACCGCGGCGGAATAGCTCTGAGATTCAAGGAATTTGGTAATCGGCCAGATACTAGCCCAGATCTCCCGTCCCCGTCGAAGGTCATTCTTCACTGCCAAAGCATTCCACAGCTCCACCGCCAGCTCCGGGATGAAGTTAGCGGCTCCCCAGATAACTGCCTCATTACCCGCCGCGATACCATAGAAAGTCAAAGTATCCCAACCATTCATGGCCTTGATCTGGTTTCCGTAATGGAAGACAAGCTCAGTGAAGTCCGGAGCATTGCCGGATGTATCCTTGAACCACTTCACGCCAACGTTGCTCAGGCCAGCAATTTGCTCTGGGCTGAGAGTCAAGCCACTGGCGGCAGGAATGTTATAGTAGAGGATGGGAAGCTTAGAGGCCTGATGGATCTCGCTTAGGAGTTCCTGGAGCTGCTCGTAGTTGACCGGGTCGTAGAATGGGGGAACTACCATGACGGCGTCGGCTCCGGCTTGGGCAGCGTGCACTGCCAGCTCGATGGCTTCGGAGGACTTGGTGCTCCCTACACCGGCAATAATGGGACCACGCCCCGCGGTATACTTGACTGTGAGCTCGACCAGCTGTTTGCGCTCTTCCGTTGTGAGCGTGGTGAACTCGCCGGTGCTGCCCCCCGGAACGAGACCGTGAATGCCGGCATCGAATTGGCGATCAATGTGTGCCTTTAGGCGAGCTGCATCGATGCTGCTGCCATCGTCGGTGAAAGGCGTAATCAACGCTGTGAGAATGCCAGTTAACTGGACAGGAGTTGTTCGGGTCATCTTGAATGGATAGGGTTTGTGAATGGAACAGAATCCGAATAGTACTAGTACTAGTAGTGGTGGTAATAGTAGTAGTTGTTGTTAGCGAACTTGGACACAGGGTATAGACTCTTTTATATCTTGTTGCGATGTCATCTTCGACCCACTTACTTTGCAACATATACACAATTATGTCGCAAAGATCTGGAAGTCATGATACTTCTCGACAATTTCCCCGCAACCCAAAGCCCTGCTCCGCCGAAGCGGGAAGGCAAGCAACGTCCGTGCGGAATGTGGATCCGTACTGGACTTTCAAACAGGAAGGCAACCGGGTGTCTGGAACAACATGTGGTTCTATGAAATTATACACACTTACCTTTGGCTTTAAATTAGGCACACCATATCGGGGCTTACCTACGTAAGAGGATGATCACGCGGAAAGAGAAGGGGATTCCGAGGACATGGTCCGACGACGATAGTATATAGAGCGTATGTCGGAGGACAATTTTATCTCAGTCAAGTAAATCAATTTGAGATAACGTTACGAGTATCCTTCCACCATGGCTGATCTTTTCGTGAATCTGACCACTCCAAACGGTCATAGCTATATCCAACCCAGAGGGCTCTTTATCAACAACGAGTTTGTCAGGGGATCAGGAGAGACTATCTCGACACTAGACCCTGCGTGAGTGCTTCCATGACATGGGTCAGTTGAGATAGCTATATCTAATTATCCTTGTTCATTTAGAACCGAGTTAGAAATCACATCCGTGCATGCGGCCACCGTGGATGATGTTGATCGTGCCGTTCGCGCAGCGAAGGCAGCTTTAAAGGCACCATCGTGGAAGAAACTTCCCGCAACCGAACGGGGAAGGCTACTCGTCCGTCTTTCAGAGCTGATTGAAGAGAAGAAAGAACTATTTGCTAGCATTGATGCATGGGACAATGGTATGCACCTACACACTCTCTATGCATACCAGGGTGGAACACTTCTAACACATACTGTCATGTAGGCAAAACATATCAACTCGCCATGGAGGATGATCTGCCCGACTCCATTGGTACATTCCGGTACTACGGCGGCTGGGCCGATAAGAACTTCGGGCAGACCATCGAAACCACGCCTGAGAAGTTTGCATACACTCTGCGTCAACCCGTCGGCGTGGTTGGCCAGATCATCCCCTGGAACTTCCCTCTGGCAATGGCTGCATGGAAACTCGGGCCTGCCTTGGCTTGTGGTAATACTGTCGTGCTCAAGGCAGCGGAACAAACACCACTGAGTGTTCTCCTCCTCGCCACTCTTATTCGGGACGCAGGATTCCCTCCAGGAGTGGTCAATATCATCAACGGATATGGTCGTGAGGCCGGCGCCTCTCTCGTTCAACATCCCCTGGTTGATAAAATTGCCTTCACGGGATCTACAACTACCGGTGGCCAGATTATGAAGTCAGCTAGTGGCTCCCTGAAAGAAATCACGCTGGAAACTGGTGGAAAGTCCCCATTGCTTATTTTCGAGGATGCCGACCTCGATCAGGCGGTCAAATGGTCTCATGCCGGTATAATGTCGAACCAGGGACAGATCTGCACAGCCACCTCCCGGATCTTCGTGCAGCGCAGTATCTACGACCGGTTCCTTTCCCTCTTCAAAGAGCGTGTTCGGACAGCATCCGTCATTGGGGATCAATGGTCCGCGACTACATTCCAGGGTCCCCAAGTAACTCGCGCCCAGTATGATCGAGTGTTGCATTATATCAATTTGGGCAAGCAGGAAGGAGCCACAGTCGAGACGGGAGGTGAGGCATTCGCGTCTCCGGATGGTAAGGGGTTCTTCGTCCAGCCAACCACTTTCACCAATGTCACGCCCTCGATGCAGATTTATAGGGATGAGATCTTTGGTCCTGTTGCTGTGGTTGTTCCCTTCGAGACGGAAGAGGATGCTATCGAGTATGCAAACGATACTCTGTATGGTCTGGGGGCAGCGGTCTTTACAATGAACCTGCGCCGTGGTCATCGTGTCGCTGCAGAAATTGAAGCTGGCACTGTCTGGCTGAATAGTAGTCAGGACAGCGACCATAGGGTTCCTTTTGGGGGCTACAAGGCTAGCGGAGTGGGCCGGGAGCTCGGCCAGGCGGGTTTGGAGGCGTACACTCAGATCAAAGCGGTTCATGTAAATATGGGTAATGATCTCTGATGTGGATATTTGATGATGGTGTATAGCTTAGAATTACCGTGAATTTAATTGGAACCATTTTGAGTCATAGCAGAACGGCTCCAGGTCATATTGGATTACATGGATTAGGATTAATGCCAAGGATATATTTATAAGACCCTTATATTTCCATGTCAGTTTGGAATACAAAATCTGTGTTATAGTATCCAAACATATTCGAATGCTAGATAGTGTAAAGTAGGTCTACAGATGGATCAAGAGCTTCAAATGTGAGATTCGTCTACATCGTGCCACATAGGCATGAATGCCCCTTCAGAGTAATGGAGCACGGAAACAAAGCACAATTCATAGAATAAAAACTAAATCTTCTTACATTGCACAACGTATGATATAATTTAATGTGTATTTGGGTCGCGTCGTAACAATGGGAACGAAACAAAGTGCGAAATCCTGGTTTTGATTCACTCAAGCACCTCTCCCTTAGACTCTGCAACCACCAAGTCAAATTCGGGCTGGAACTCCAGATAAAAATTGTTCTATGCACTTCATTAGCCAGAGATTGTCGCTGATGATCATCTGAGGTCCTACCGGGGTTTGAACGGAGTCAGCCGTGAATTGAGCGACATCATGGGGAATGATCTTCTTGGGAATTCCATTGGCAGCGGCAGCCTCTGCTAGCAACTGAGAGTGACAGGCCTTTTCCAAGCTGTAGAAAAGGAATCCTGCCTCATCAACCGTAGAGCCAAGCGTAATCAGACTATTTCACTGGTCGTCAGCTCCACTCCTATAATGATAGGTCAGAACATGTGTAATCTCACCCGTGGTTCTGCAGGATTGCAGCCATACTTGTCTTTCCAAGGGCGTTCGCGATAGCCCTCCCTTCGTCTTCGGCAAGGGCAATTCCCCCATGGTCCTCATACACACTGAGCTTACCATAGAAGTTGCACGCATCTACAGCAGTCGATATTTAGCCAGGGCTATTGGCAAACAAATATGCCTGGGGATAGAATACAAACCTTGTGTGAGCATCTCAATCGGCTTACCGAAGCTACTCCACGTCTTTCCGTAAATACTGTGAGTGTGGGCCACAGCCATAACCTCCGGTCGCGCACGGTGGACTTCAGAATGGATCATAAAGCCCGCCTCGTTGATCATAGCCTGGTTACCACCTTCCACCACGTATCCACGACTGTCAACCAGGACCAGATCAGATGCTTTGATCAGGCTGAAATGCGTCGCGAATGGGTTCATCCAAAAGTGGTCCGATACGATGGGGTCTGTGGTCATTTAGTCCACATTGATTCTCCTTGATTACAGCATAACTGTGTCGTACCTCGTACAGAGATATGCCCGGACACCCCTTCTCCCCATCCTTGCTTTCCAAAAAAGCGAAACACCGCCGCCATGTGTTGACGGATCCATTGCCGCTTTGCATGCAAATCGGTGAAGGTAGGGATACCTCGGAGCTTCAGCACACCTTGCCGGTCACCTCGAGCAAGTGCCTGGAAGGCACGGTCGCTCTCTGCGCTAGGTGTATCAATTTGCTCGGCGCGAAGCACCGTTGGCTGTGTGTCAATGGCGGTTGCTGTTGTTGTAGACATTCTTGTAAAGTAACTTTAGTGGTATGAAAGTGGATGATGTGCGTGAGAGTACGTCGTCCGGGATGCATGCTGTATTTCAACACTACCTTATTATGTGATTGACGCTATGGTGTCTACATCTCTTTGTCCTCCGCATCCAAGCGGTGGTGGGAGCGATGTTCATAGAAGGCGCACTTCAAACGGTTGGCAAGTCCGATTGATTACTTGCCTTCGTCGGAGTTGCTTGCCTTCTTTATCGGCTGAGTGGGGTCTGCCCTAATATCATTTAAGAGTCACCCCGCAATTTATGCCAAGAGTTTGATCCAACATTCTATTTTTCTCATCCTTCATTGGCAAACCTAACCAGTCTCAGCCCTGACCTTGTTGGTAATTTGTCCTGTTGATATCGACAATATATTGTGATGGTTCTACGCGAGCTGCACCTTCGCCAGATTATTGAAGCTTGCTGGTAGAGTAGAAAGGAGTCGGCACGCTTCGTGATCTTACTATTTCCTCTAAACAATTCCCGACACTAGATCTCGGTTCACTAACATACATAACTACTCATGAACGGGTAATTTATTAATTAGCGGAATGGGACGGGCGGTCATGACCAAGGAGTGGCAAATGCTCTCCACTGACATGTAAATGTGTGTGGACCAGTACAAGTTAGGGAATATGTAACGGTTGATTTGATATTAAGATGACGCCATGGATAGACAATCTACGTCTAATTACAGAATTCTGGGATATTCCTACGGTGGAAACTCCTTCACGTCTGGCTCTTCTAGCTCCCGGGCTGGGACCGGCACCACGTGCGGTTTGTAGTAACAAGTGACATATGGATGGGACTTGTAACTGAAGGTGATGAAGTGGTGAATTCCCGTGGGGTTGTTTGTATCCAGGCTTGCAAGCGATCATGTTAGTAAACCAAGCTAATATAGGAATATTCATCGTAGGTTGGGGCAAACATACAACAACGACTCAAAGATGTGTCGGTAGTCCTGTACATCCATGGATTCATGGTGCGAAAAGAACTCCTGAAGTCCTTGAACAATGCTATCCTGGTCTTTATTGTTGATCGCTACCGGAATATATACTTTTGGCTCCGGGACATGGTTGTTGGGCCTCAATTCATAATTAACCAGCCAACCCTGGTACAGGTCGTCGGTCACAGGAAGGTCTTCGGTTTCGGGGAAGTCTGGCGGCAGATTGAGCACCGCATACCAAAGCTTGCGTAGCTCTTTCACACCAGTTTGGATATTGGGGTTATTGAGGCGACCACCCAGAGTAAACGCGTCCCGCATCTTAATGTATGCTGTCTGTGGCCCATGCAGATAGACTTTAAGGCGGGCGTCTTTTGAGTTAGTGGTGTCGAAACTGAGGAAACAGCCCTTTGTTTGAAACTCCCTGGCTCGGTCCGACTGGCAGTAGTCGCCTATGACTTGGAGGGCAGGGTGGTATGCACCAAAAAGGTCACCATTGTTGCGAATGGAGTCGAAAAGCAGCTGGTCATGAGGGATCCCTGTCTCAAGGCTTTTCCAAAGGGCGTTAAATACGGGCTTCACCCGAACGCCACTGTCCAACAGATCGCACCCATTGACGCTCTGTATGGCCATACGACGAAAATTAGGAGGCTCTCGTGCGAGGACTATGTCCGTTGCAGAATCGGGGATGTACATCTGTTGGACAAAGTAGTCGAACCAGTCCATACTGAAGTCGGGGAGCATGGAAGCCAGGGAATTGGTCAATTCGAGGGCAACATTCTGACAGAAAGGGTCCTTCGGCGTGCCGCTCCACTGGCTGATAGGAACGTGATCCATGCGCACTGCTTTCTTCGACCCGTCAAAGTTGAGACTGACTTCGGCAGGCGTTGTGTCCGGTGAGTAGGCTGTCTTCCATGCAAAGCCGTTTTCGATGGAAGGATATGGGCCGAGGTAAGGCAGAATATGGTAATAGATGAATGATAGGTGCTGATATTGGAGGGACACTGGGTAATCGCAGAGCGCCAACAGCTTCTCCAGGAGAGGCCCAAGGGTGGCCCACCAAAGCCTTTCATGGTTGTTCTTGAATCCTATTCCCCGGGCAAGGGCTTGGTGGGGTGAGCATGTGTCTGACTTCTGAGTGGACATTTTGCTTGCTCTTCTGATATCCAGTTGAAGCTACACTGGGGGATTTGAAATTAGGAATCGGTGAACCAAAATAAATAAGATGTTTACGATGAGCTCAATGGCATCTAGAGAATAGGTTTTATGATCAAGACCTGTCAGTAGGCTTCGGAATACCCGGATCATGCTCCTCAGGTCATAGGATAGCCGACTCCGAGCGGGGTGATTGACAAATCCAATGCATTATAGTAGGATATGCAGCCAACAATGAAATACAGGATTCAGAGTGATAAAAGAAAGTATTCAGTAGTCTGGTCCGCTGGCATCACAAGTGGCCGCAGTCGTGTGATGCTCTGCCCAATGATACACCAACTCCTACATCTCGGTTGGCCATAACACTGCATATAACTGCAGTACATATGAGATGATGTCGTTGCACTCGCTCGCCACCGCGTCACTGAAAACCTGCAATTCCAGTATCGGACAATAGTGTCACCTTACTATACCATGAGAGGTGTCTCTACATACAGTCTAAAGCCTTGGGTCCAAAATGATTCCGTAGGTCATAAGAGACTGTTGAATACAGTAACCATATGGGTGGGATGTATCTATAGCAACATGATGTATATCGAAGAGCTTTATGACGGGTATTACTGACAACTGAGATTATATCCCACTTAGTTACCGATTTGCTGCCATGTCCTCCCAGGAAATATTCCATCTCTCGAGACTTCGAACGATATGCGTCTTCAGTCGTGAGCGTTGTATCTGAGATACTTGTATCGATAATATAGCGACTGAGGCAAGTGACATATGATGGATATAATAGATTCTTTTATGAATTCAGTTACTAACTCATAATAGAATCCGGTTAAGGAAGGAGCATACACCAACTTTCATTTTGACAAACCTCTGAACACCATTAGAATAACTAGTTAGAGTGGGAAGTAGAGCCCGACCGCCGTTTCAACTGCACCATTCCTTTCATGTCCGGGAATAAAATCTTCTTGAAGGTCCAATTTGGCGGACGTTCACCATCGTCTTTTGGTCTGATGTCATACTTCACAAGAATATGCGCTAGCAGGAGACGGATCTCGTCTGCTGCCATGAACCGGCCGGGGCTGACAAGCAAAACTCAGATCAGCATCGTTCCTGCAATCCCAGGGGGCATTTTCGACTCACCATATATGTCTCCCATCTCCGAATTGGAGGTACTTGGGATTGGCAGCAATGAATTTGTAATCATGTGGTCGTCCTGTAACCCTTCCCAGCCTGTAGAATCGGTAACCGTCAAATTGCCGGGCATCCGGGTAATGCTTCTCATCGAAGAGGACGGGTGCATTTGGTGTGAAGACAAACGTTCCTTCAGGGATGCGGAGACCGTTGCTGAAAGTGAAGTCTTTTGTAGCTCGTCGCGCAAGAGAACCTGGGAGCTGCACTCAGAAACTGGTCGCTGGGTATTACATACAATGATTTACCAACCTGCATCAAGGGGATTAAAACGTTGGCATTCCTTGACAAAGCTGTCCAGTTTCTCCATAGATTCAAGTCCTTCTTTAGTCCACTGATAACCATTTCTATTCAAGACGGCCTCCACTTCCTCACGTAGTGGCTGCACGTATTCAGGCCGGATGGCCAGGTCCATCAGGCAATGGACCAATACCTAGTCATTGCGGTAAGCTGGTCAGCCTTGATCACGTTGGGCTTTTATATGGACCTCACCTGCGTAGTCGTATGGATGGCACCGAACACGGCCGATACCACGGACCGAGCAATGTCTCGGTCGGTGTATGTCCCAGGGTTGGTACGAGTCCAGAATGAAATCCAATCCGTAATATCCTAAGTCACAACATCAGCAGTCGCATGTCGACGCATTGAAGAGACTAGTACCTGTGGCTCGTTCCGGGGGTTTACTTCCCTCTTTTTCAATTCATCCATCACAACCGTATCAAGCCGCGCTGATATCTTCGGCGCGCTGGAAAACCTCGCAACTAAGCTATGAATGCATTAGTTTCGAAGGGAAGTCGAGAGGTAACCTTTCTCCTACGGTTTCAAAACCTCCGGAAACATAGCAATAAAGAACCCACTAGTTGGCACCGCATTGCCGTACTCCGCGAATAGATCAATGAGCTCCCTATCTCGAGATAAGGGGTACCCTACCAGGGACTTGGCTGTTAGATGGGCCACAATCCTGGTTCCAGTAGCGAAACAGCAAAGGTCGTTCCAGTTCTCATCATCAAACAAGGTCTCTGCATCAAAGGCGTGCTGTAGCTCTTTCACGAACTCCTCAAAGTATGGATCGCTTTTGGTTGCAGCCCGAGTGCGCTGCCAGGTCAGGGCCTTTGCCAGAATCGGGACAGGGACTTTATGCACACCCTCTGCCGCACCCGGAACCGTATACTTCGCTTCGAATAACTACATAGATTAAGGTAAGCATGTAAGCTTTCGGGCCTTGGTTCTGTTGAGTAAAGACTTGCCTCGGCTGTGACGGCATTCGCCGAGAAGCGTTCGTCGGTGAAATTACGATACTCGCGCACCATTTCATCATTGCAGATAAACACCTCCCATCGAGTTGGAGTTGATACTTGAAAGGCGTAGTCACCATGCTGTATAGAATGCGTCATATATTAGTCTCCAGGAGGTATTTTGGGGCTACACACCTTCTGGTAGCCTTCATCGATTAGTGATCGTGCTCGCGCTGTCCACCGGAATGCCGCAATCCAAGATCCAATAAGTCCATGCCCTCCAACTACGGGGACGTTGACCTTTCTACCTTAGCTAGACTGTCTTTGTTGAATTGAATGCTAGGCCACGTACCCATGATCTATAGTATCTGTACCATCTGGTCGCCAGCTGCTGGATAAGGATAGCACACAAAACATAGCCCCAACCAGGAGCGGTAAATGGGTAGGTTAACTGATACTGTACCATACCCTTGAAATAGACCAACGTTATCCCTAATAGTTGAGACATTGACGATAGGATAATTAGTTTCTGGAGCAACTGGACAAAGGAGGGAAATCCCAATCGAACGCGACTCAGTAGGCCAGGCCACTCATGTGATAACTATGATAACCTAAAGACGCCAATGGCTTAGGTCACGTAGGTAGATTGACGCGTCGATGATTGAGATCCCCACGGAATCAATACGGGGGGCTTTATCAGACTGGTATTGAGAACCAGCCTAAGTAATCAGCATTTCAGCGACAGAGATGGCAGCTGATAGTGCAGAATCGTCTTCATCCCTGTCCTTAAGATCGATGCGGGGTTAAGATGGGTTAATATGGATTGTCCTCCACCCTCGTCTTCAGCTGGTCTCTTTCCATCCAGTGAGAAATGGGATAACACAGCAAAGAAGCAAGGTATGTCCCTTATGCCACCGGGTCAATTCAGCCCAGAAAGAATAAATCTTGCTTTGGGAGTTATTGCCGGGGCTTAAGTCACTTGGGAAACGTGATGTTGTTTCTTTAATTTTCGTTTTCTTTTTCCCTAGACATCTTCTATCAGCGGATGGCTTTGCTACTCTTCATCTATCGTCAGGAACTGTTATAGCAAGTCTCTGTGGGGTGAAGAAACGCATGCCCTAATCCAATGCCGTACCCCCCAAAATTATCCATCACCTACTCTATAACCCAGGATGGTGATACAAAGATGTTTCGAACAATCAGGACGAAGGATTTAAATTCAAAAAATAAATTCAACACGAATTCGAGGGCTAGCGCGTTACACAGGGTCTCGATAAGTGACCAATGCCTAGAAGTAGCCATCCATCAGTCACGGTCTAGACCGTCTTCCGGTCGGCATCCAAACCAGTCCTCCGTTCATAACGTTTGATATAATAAAAGCAAACCCCATAAGAACTGTCAATAATGAGCCACGCGAAAAAGCACCACATTATCAAAGGGTTTCCCAGCCACGAAAATGCCTGTGGCCAGTATTTGTAACGCAGCCAGGCAGAGATCACCACCGAGAAAGAGCCCAGGAATCGGGAAAGCCTGATCATGAGGGTTAGTATGCGATGGGATGTGGTATTAGCAAACCAACCAGGCTAATACTCACCAGAGCGTGTACGAGGCTCCTCGAGTGCTTGCACGAGTGATCAGCTGGCAGAGCCCTCCGACACTGAGGAGTAGCTGACAGAATGCAGCTCCCCAATTATAGGCCAGTGCAGGGCCAATCTCCGCTGCCAGGGCAAGGTGGCCTGTGAGAAATCCGATTATCCCCAGCATAAATATGAGTGGCAGATTGTGCATCACCAGAGGCGCATGGGTCCATTCCTTCGGTCCAAATTTAATCGTGGTGTATATGACGCCTAGGTTGATGGCAAGGCCGCTTAGAAAGACCCCCTGCTCATATACGGTCTTTGATGGGTATATGAGGCCATACACAATTTCCCATGCAATATTGCAACAGAGTGGCATGATAGCCATTCCATATGTACGACTCTTGAACGATCCGTAGACCATGCCGACATAGTTGATAACCCAACCGATTCCCATTCCTATGACGAAAACATCTGCAATCCATTCAACTTCACGATACGCAGCTGGGGCCTCTGATGAGCCAAACCCGTCCATTTCGTAGATCCGCTTCAATGTAAGGTAGCGTGGCTGTTGCTTGTCTTAAACTCTAGTCACATAGAAAGGAAGTAGAGAATCAGAGTGAATTTAATTGTAAAGTCCAACGGCACAGAACCCAAATTTAATACTTCTAAAGATATCACATATCCGTTGCCACGAGTAAAAAGACCCAATCATCCTATGTGCTCCAGTAAGTTGTTTCTTGGATGGAAAGCGCGACATGTACGCCCCAATGGGGGGCCCAGCTTGAAGCTGATGGGAGGCTTATTAGTTGTGGTCTTTTAAATACTCCGAACATTTATCATGCCACACTTACCATACGTCGAAGCTACGCCCACATTCCAAAGGAAAAGCCTTTTGATAACATGAACTCCGTATTACCTTACTTGCTCCTTCTATTGGCAATGGCCTCATTCCATACGATGTACATCTCGTTATTCAACAAGGGATTTTTCAATCTTCTTTCGCATCAGCTGGCGACTAGAGCGCTTCCTGGGGAGTCGAATGTTGCTCTTCTATCCGCATATACTGGACTAAAAGCTCTCGATAGTATACTTGAAAGTACTGTTATCTTCTTTTGGCCCTTTACCCAGGGCCACGTTGTAGGTCTGTCCCTGATGGGATTGATCTTTTCGGGAGGTATGGTTGGCATCTGGATGATCGTTGTGATCAATATTTGTCGGGCGCGCTCATTCATGCGTGGCATGGCAGTGTGAGTTCCGCATCAGGAAAGTCCTGGCCAAATGGTACATAAGGCTGATAGCTCAACGATTGGAAGAACTCTCATTGTCGGTATTATACAGCAGGCAGTTGGTCCTGGGATTGTGATTCCATGTTACTTTGCCCTGACGTCTAGGTCCAGACCCATCGACCAGAACTCGCGTCATACTGAAACAAATTTCACACCCGTTGACGGTCTGATAGCTTCGATGATCATGAGCTATATCCTTCCCTTGGCAATAATGTCTCTACCAGCCCCCGCAATGGTTTCCTTTCATTTCAAACAGCAAATCATCGCGGCATGGCAAGGATGGCCGGTATATTTCGTCATCATAATGACCGTCCGCCATTTAGCCAGCGGTTGTAGGGACCCGAAAAGAGCATCAGAACGCCATCAAGTACTCTCTGCATATCGCTTTGGCTTTTTCTGTTCCTGTATTTGTCATATGGCCTGGCTCTCGGCATTCATAGCGTCTGAGATTCACTCTTTCATCCAATCACCTAAGCTCTGGCGCCTGTATCCATGCGGTGTCACGTTCCCACCTTTAAATCAGCCCGCACAGGGACTCGGGTCCCTTGAGACTGGACTATTTACTTTCCTCCAATGGGATTATGGCGCTGCTGCAGTGGCCACGATTGTGTGGTGCACTGATCGTTACATCCAAGAACGCCACCGGGCTGGATTGGAGATCAACAAATTCAGGCTGATCCAACAGTTACTCGGATGGATACTGATTGATGGCCCCTCGGCTACGGCTGTTAGACTTGCCTGGGAGTCGGAAGGGTGCTCGTACGTACAACATCCTGATCGAGGTGTTGGGAGAAGGACAACATGACATTGGATCCGGGAGTCCGAAACGATAGGTTTAGAATGGGTCCAGTTGAAACTACAGTATGGGGCTTGCCCGTGATTGAGATATTACAAACCTGTGTGAGACATGGATGCGGCATGGCTATGAATATAATTCCATTACAACTTGCTGTCATTAGGCCTTGTTTATCTTGCTTTGTTATTACTATTCCGACCATGCAAGACACGCTTGCGTTCGGAGGTCAGCTCCGAGATACCCGCCAGCGTTATCCTTGCTATAAAGAAATCATTGTACGTAAGCTGACAGCGTGTGGTATTGGGAATGTCTTCACTGTGTGACCCTGGAATAGGATGGATTTAGGTGGTGGGGGAGGTATTCGACGATATCAACTTAGCGATAAGTAGGATATGTTTCACAATTCAGAGTAAAATGAGGTCGTTTGCTTCATCGTGACAAGAGTGACTCGAGTCATTCTACAGTTCCTAAAGGTATGGACAAGCTCGCCGCAACGGTGGCCAGATTTAGTCATTCGTTCGAAGAAGCGAAAGGCCCCATTTTGATAGCTATCACGCTTGTCATCCTCTTTACGCGGTTGATAATTCCCAACTCAGTGAAACTAAGCAATGTATCTGTACCAACTGTGACACTCTTCAACCCTTATCTGCCGGAATTCCTGAACCGTGTATGGTTCAATTCAGCAGCTCCTACTGTGATTTACAAGGGGTATCGACAGGTGAGCAGATGATCACTTAAACCTTTGCGCTTGTTATTCAAAATAGCACTTAGTATAAGGACCGAGCATTTCGCCTTCTCAAGCCAGACGGAGATATCATCGTACTGCCGAATAAGTACGTGGAGGAGCTACGGCAACTACCTCTCACAACGCTTAACGCTTTGGAAGCGGTGTTTGCGGTGAGGGCTACCATACCTCGTTAATATCTATGGACTGTAGCTTATGGATGGATTCTTCTAGGACCATGTTGGCAAATATACAACAATTCTGAACGACAGTCATCTCCATACCGAGGTTATACAGAAGCGCCTAACTCCTGCTATAAGTATGGCAGTCCTACTGCACAGGCCTGACTATGGCATAGCTAATACAAGGCTCTATCAGGTCGATTGATACCAAGGATTATAGACGAACTAGACCATGGCTTTGATGTTGAGATGCCAGAGTGCGATGGTGGGTTCAACTTCACTTATCCCACATGCGTAGAGGTTAACAAGTTATAGATAAATGGGTCCCAGTCAGGCCGTACGAGGTTTTCCTCCGCCTCGTCGCTCGAGCCGGTGCCCGTGTGTTTGTCGGGCCAGATATCTGCCGTAGCGAGAAATGGCTGACTGCTTCAATCGACTTTACAAAGAACATATTCATGACAATCACACTGCTACGTCCCATACCTAGTTTCCTCCATCCTATCATCGGGCGGATGTTACCCAGCAGCCGCAGCCTGGATACACAGCTGCGATACGTCCAAGATAAGCTTCTCGGTCCAGAGATAGCGAAGCGCTGCCAGAGGGAGGTGCTGGGAGATCCAGACTACCAGAAGCCGGATGACTTCCTGCAGTGGATGATGGATCTGGCTCAGAATGATCATGAGGGCGATCCAAGGAATATAGCTCACCGTTTGCTGGGTCTTACCAGTATGGCGGTAGTGCATACAAGTGCCATGTCTATTACTCATGGGCTGTATGATCTTATCACGATGGCTCAATGGCTTGAGCCCCTCCGTCAGGAGATCCAAGAGGTTCTACCCGACTGGAAGTCTGCCAGCTACAGTAGTCTGGTTGCGCTTCGACGATTGGATAGCTTTCTCAAGGAGTCGCAGCGCTTTAATCCCCCGGGCGAGCGTACGTTATGACTATTTCCACCACGAGCCATATTTGCATACTAATTATATATTGCTTAGTATCGTTCCACCGGGTGGTGAAGAAAGACCTGGTCCTCTCCGATGGCCTCCGACTTCCAAAGGGCACCCATATTTGCATGGCATCTGGACCCATTGGCATGGATACCAAGTATGTCTCCGACCCTGACACTTTCAATGCGCTTCGCTACGTCGATGGCGACAAAGCCCAGTCCCAGTTTGTCCACACCAGTGCTACAAGCATGCACTTCGGACTGGGTCGGTATGCATGTCCCGGTCGCTTCTTTGCAACTTTTGTTTTGAAGGCTATCCTCAGTCGGTTTCTAGTAGAATATGACTTTCAATTTGGCCCTGATCAGATAGGAAGGCCGAAGAATGTGTTACTGGGTGATAAAATTGTTCCCAATACCTCTACCGATGTGTATGTGCGAAAACGCACGGCATCACAGAGTACAGTTTAGATGGATAAGACAAGTGTCCAGAGTTTTATTAATTCTTGCGATATATTGGAGATGTTCGGTCAGCTAGTATCACTAGTGCCTTACTGATGTAGTTTGAATGGAATATTCCTCCCTTCTCCAGTCGTAAGATGTACTAGTGTGCTCCATTCGCGGGTGAATTGGAGCCTCTACTCTCTCCAAGCCTGGCTCCCTTTGTATGGTGACCCCATTTTACTGATCCTACCAACCTTAATGATGTAGTAGAAAAGACCTTGCTTACTAGTTGTCTAAATACATGAAATCTGTAAGGAACTGAATGCATGAAATCCGAGATATTGACATGGAGTGTACGTACAAAGCATTTGGGAATATATATCTCGGCCCCACCGATAAACCCTAAATTCAAACCAACGACACTGACTTGCTTAAACCTTGCTTTTCTGCCAGATGAGCCAACTTCCTGTGATTGAGGTAATTTCTTAGTTTCCAAAAGCAGTATTGAACACCTCCCATGTCTAAATTCTAATCCTAATAGTCAATGGAGTAGCCCAAAATAGCAATGATGCGCATGAACCAACATCTCACACGGAATAGCCAGCTTTGGCCCACATTGAAAGAAAACCGCGACCAATAAGGACCATAGAAACAGTTGCCATTGCTTTATCAGTGCCTGGTTAGTCTGACAGGGAATATACGAAGCGCCCAAGGCCTGATTTGCGACAAGAAGATCCCGAAAGGAAAATCTCTCCGCCAGGACCAAGATTCACTTCCACCACGACTCCTCCCCAAACGAGTTATTCTATGGTGACATCTTACGATTTTTCTTTGTCCCATGCTCCCGAATCCACCCGAGGAGTTAAGTTTGATTCCCCACGGTCAAGCCTTCCGCTGGCTCTTGACAACGTTTTCCAAGACTTGCTTCTGTTCCGAAGCCTTTTGTGCCAAGAGGCGCCACGAGGGGCTTCTCCGGATCTTCGGCGGGGCAGTCTTGAGGCTCGCCCAGACATGCGAGGTGAAAGCCGACCCAGTCTCCCGAAGCAGTATCGGGGGGTTTTTGATAGCCATTCGTGATTCAAAATCTAAGATGCCGTGGTCGGAGGAATTCCGCGATGGGGAACACCGAGGTAGAACTTTAACGCAGGATGCGAATGCCTGCCCTTCGACACGATTATGTGTCTTGAAGAATGCTCGGTAGAGATGTAAGGAGGTGTGGACACACGTTGATCAGATTACCCAAATAATTTAATTACCCAACTGATTCACAGGCCAGAATCATGAACGTGGCTGACAATAGCCCATTTACAAACAACTTCCAAATGAGGTCATGTAGGGCTTCCTTTCTCCCTCCTAGTATCGTACGATCTCCACACTCCACGATGGATAAAGAGAAAGGAAAATAACCCCCACAAGAACATGGGGAAATAAGTTTAAAATTGACTCAAAACTAATCCTCTTGGCTGATACAATTTTTCGCGCACGAGGTGCCACTCTTTCGTGGACGCGAGGCCCACGGATCATGTTCATGACCTTCTGACCCTCCCCGTGCGAGTAATTCGCTGGCATCCTTTGTGTGAATCCGATGGTTCAATTGGTTCCGTAGTCGTCACCCCAATTCACTCCGACCCCCCCGCGTCCAGGTTGGGATTGGGATAGTTAGCGCCTCTGGGCATCAAGGGCGGGCCGATTTCAGAGGAAATACCACCTTGAACGGCAACTTGGACTAGTGTGGCTTGCCAGTGCTGAATACGCTTGGACAACCACCTCAGCCTTAGTTGCTTGGCGCCATCTTGGCTCGTTAAGATTGGAAGCTTTTCGCGGGGAATGTTGGCCTGCAACCTGGGGGATTCGTGGGGATTGACCTCAATGCATCAGGTGGGCTGGGCACATTACTTCCCATTAGGGATGAGACCATGGACGGGAGTAAAATTGCTGCTGTCATGTATAAAGAGGTGTCAGTGGAAGTGTAATCATGATGTAGTTGCCCGACTTAAATAGACGACCATTCTCGCCCACTTTCAAAATAGCCCACTTCTCTTTTTCTTTTTCTTCCCTTTTCAGCGAGGAGTACCTGGCAACATGAGTACTACGAACGAGCCAGCGGAGCCCATCCCCACTGGCATTCTAGCCACAGCGAAGCAAGCATGGGGCGATCTGTTCAAGTGGAAGCAACGAGTCGTAGTGACCAACGAGTACGGAGAGACTCGAACTGAATGGCAAGAGCCCGATCCCATTAAGAACCCCATCAGCTTGTTTGCGCAGCTCAGTGCCCGCGATTGGGTGTTCTTCCTAGTGGGCTTGACAGCCTGGACGGCAGATGCGTTCGACTTCCACGCACTGTCCATCCAGCAAGTGAAACTGGCCAAATACTACAACCGCACAAAAACAGAAATTTCCACGGCAATTACTCTGACACTTCTTCTGCGAAGTGTTGGCGCCGCCTTCTTTGGTTTGGCTGGTGACAAGTTCGGCCGTAAATGGCCCATGGTGTTGAACATGATTGTATTGGGAGTGCTGCAGATTGCGACCATCTACAGTCACACGTTCCAGCAATTCCTGGCCGTGCGGAGTCTATTTGGTCTTTTTATGGGAGGTGTCTATGGAAACGCCATCGCCATGGCGCTGGAACATTGCCCGTAAGCGTCGCGACCAGATAGCTATTGTCTGAATTGACTAACCTCTCTTAGAGTCAATGCTCGTGGTCTCATGTCGGGCATTCTGCAACAAGGGTATTCCCTGGGATATGTCTTTGCCGCCTGTGCCAACCTCGGAGTTGGTGGAGCTACTGATAGTTGGAAGACAGTATTCTGGGCTGCAGGTCAATACCCCTTCCATACACACAATGTAGATTCACGCTTACGACTGCTTAGCTGGTATCTCGATCGGGGTTGGAGTTATCCGCATCTTTTTCCCCGAATCGAAACAGTTCCTCGAAGCCAAGAAGGCTGGCAAGAAGTCCATGAGTGCAGGGGCATTCTGGAATGAAACCAGGCAGATGTTAGCCCAGGAGTGGAAGATGTGCGTGTATGCCGTTATTCTCATGACCTGGGTAAGTACTCATCCATCTTCACAATCGAACAAACCAACGACCATGGCAACCATATAGGGTAAAACCAGACTAACAGCCTTAGTTCAACTACTACTCTCACACCTCGCAAGACTCCTACACCACATTCATGTTAACACAGAAGGGCATGAAAAACGACGGCGCCTCCCGCGCCTCCATCCTCATGAAAACCGGCGCATGCGTCGGTGGCACGATCATCGGATACTTGTCCCAGTTCTTTGGCCGCCGACGCGCCATCATCGTTTCGGCCTTGATTTCGGGTGTTCTTATCCCAGCCTGGATCCTTCCACAGGGTGAGCGGGCATTGAGCGCAACTGGATTCTTTATGCAATTCTTCGTCCAGGGTGCCTGGGGTGTTATCCCAATCCACTTGAATGAGCTCTCACCACCGGCCTTCCGGTCATCGTTCCCTGGTATATACTCTCCCATCCTAACTACATTGCCGAAATCATCTAACATGAAACAGGAATCACCTACCAAGTAGGTAACATGATTTCATCCCCCTCCGCACAAATCGTCAATGCCATCGCCGAAAAGACCTTAATCACGGGTGCGACTGGTGAACCGGCGCCTGCTTACGGACCGACCATGGGTGTGGCTACGGCTATTATCGCGACGGGAATCATGGTGACTACGGCGTTTGGACCAGAGAAGCGTGGTCGGAGGTTCGAGACTGCTGTTGCGGGTGTGGAGGAGTCTGAGTCGAAGAAGGTCCTTGATTTGGAGAAGGGGGATGTGGCAGAGCAAAAGGCTACGGAGGAGAAGGTTGAGCAGGTAGAGAAGGTAGAAAAGATTTAGGCTTGATATGTTCCACAGAGGTGCCAACTGAAATGAAAGATATCCAATATCTGAGTAGAGGATGAATGTTACACCATAGATTAGATATACAGTTTACTTTTACCTTTACTAATCTACTACAATTATTCCTCTCTGTGCTCAGCAGACGGTGTCGCCCTGGAAAGTGTAGATTAAACATTGAACCCACGGCTACGAAAGAAACAAGAACTACCGATCCACTGACAACAGCCTCGGACCGATAAGAGCCCAGAACAAGCTTGATAAAATAGCCGGCATGTATCGGGCCATTCAACAGTTGTAGAGATGACGGATGGCCGAATTGGGAAATCCTCCGAGCTCCATTTTTGATCGACAACGAAAGCTGCGGGGAAATCCGGAGTACATTTTTTTGCCAAGTATATGGACGTGGGGTGTAGCTCCAGATATTGAACACGTTGCATTAGGGCAGGAAGCTATCCAACTCATAATGACATATATGATTTCCGTCTCGAAGTTGTGTGCTGACGAACTCAAGTAGCCGACCTTTTTGGAAAAGTCCTGATATAGTGATGATCAATCCATTGGACCTAGTCTGCTTTTCGTGATATGCGCAATGAATGTCATGTTACTAGCCACTTTATCCTAGTAGGAGCAAAGTCACTTCTCGTAAATTATTCTCAGGAAATGAAAAATACTACCCAGACCACAAGCCAAACCGCGTATCAGAGAATATCACCCATACATGAATAGCAATACTATTAAAAAAAAAAAAAAAAGCCTAACTCGTAAACCCAAACCATTTCATATCCTCATCCCCATGAATCTGTATATTATGTCCAACACCTCCCGCTAAAATCCCCTGAACATTCGGTCCCCAAGTGGTCCTGCTCCAGTTCGCCTCCGGTGTATTCGGTTCAGTCGATTCGGGAGCATCATAGTCATACCCGAAGACGCCTGCCCATTGCTTACACGTCTCATTGTAGTTCTGGGGGTACAAGGTGGCATCAACACTACCGTGGTAGATCTGCATCTTGGGCCGCGAGCCACTGTAACCGGGGTACATGGCTTCGGCAATACTAGCCCAGTGCTCGGGGGTCGTGATAGATTGGCCCTGAGAACAGGTCGAGTTCCAGGCGTCGGGTTGGTCGGCTGTTGAGAGGAAGCAGCCGGCTGGGACGCCGGCGTAGGCGATTCCGGCGGCGAAGAGCTCGGGGTATGTTGCTGCCATTACATTCTAGTATTATCAGTTTAGTATTGTTTATTAGAAGGCCAAAATGTAAGAAACGTACGGTCATCATGGCGCCAGAGCTAGTGCCCGTTACGAACACCTTGCTTGCATCTGCGTTATACTGCTTGGTCGTCCAGGTTACCATGTTGGCAATGGAGTTGCTGTTTCCGCCGCCGTTGTGCGTGAGCGTTGCTTGAGAGCTGACGTCCCAGCATGTTCCTTCGTAGGGGCTTTCGGGGTAAATGACGATGAAGCCGTGTGTTTCGGCTTGTTGGGCGTAAGGGGAGCCTTGGTAGTATGCTTGGGCGGTTCCTGTGCCTTCGGATATTGTTAATATGTCAATCAATGGTATGGATGGCAGAGTACGCACAGTAGTGGATTGCAACTATTATTGCAGGATTGGGAGCTAGGTTTGTGGGCACGTAGATGTACATCCCAACATTGCTAGGGTTGTCACCGAAGTCAGTGACTTTTTCGAGAGATCCTGCTCTGGGAACTAGGGATCTGCCATTATGTATAGCTCTGGCACTGCAGGTGAGAGCACAGAGGAGATAAGTGAGGAGATACGACAAGAGGATCATGTTTATTATAGTAATAATTGAATATGGAGCCTTGCGACCAGAATGTGCTCTTGCTGAGATAGTCCTCCATCAAGTCATAACAGCGAGCGGCAGGCAGTCCTTAAATACTCCATATTTATCCTCATGACACCTTTGTTGTTGCAGCGCAGCATCACACGCGCTTTCTATTGTACATTGAATTAAATCAATAATATGCACAATCATTCACTGTCGGTCATTTGATCCCGGACGAACGGAATTCTCTCCTCCAATCTTGACGCTCAACTCCCTCCCGCATTGGCAGGGGTGTACATCACCAATGTTGCAGAATCCCTTGTCCTAATTTCAATCGAGCAAACGGCATTGCGGACGAAAATGCCGTTCGGCTAATACTCCGTGACGAATTGTGCCAGATATACTTGCTCGTGGCTCATTGGTCAATCGTGTTTCAGGTACAGGTTCTTCATGCGGGGGATTTTCACTTCCATATTTTCCAGTATATCCGGTCATTTAGGCAGAAGAAACTCGTTGAACCTGAGCTCTAGCCTATTTTGACATCTTGGCTGGGTTCGGTAGTTATTTTGAGTGCTAGTGGGCTGGGTACTGGTGGGACAGGCATGTCTACATAAGACCTGTGCTGAGAGGGCTCAGAACTGGACGCATGATTTTGACTCAGCGGGCAATGTCCGGATGAACCGAACCCCATTCGGCTCCCCGTTCTTCCTCAGGGGACCGGATAATCAAATTCATATTGGTGTATACAGAGGTGACTACGTACTCATGGGCTCAACACTCGCCGCGAACCATGGATGGCTTCTAACTAAACCCCCGGGCGGAGGAGGCCCAAAAGACGTACATACCAGTCTAGCCTCCATGTGCGGCCTTTCAGCAAACCAGGAAGCCTATGTGGGGGGATTCTGGGGTCCAATATCCTCCACCTATACGATAATTAAGTATGCACCCTCGGACTTTCACCTCACCACCGTCACCAATGGAGCAAGTTCAAGTACACAGCCCGTTGAAGAAGACGACAATGGACCACCTCCGAGTCCTCCAACTGATACACCAGCCCCCCACCCACGACTCCGGGCAGTTTGACGTTCTATAGAGTGCGTAAGCCAAGGACACATGATGGACTACTTTGGTTTCGCGTTCCTGCTGGCTCTCCATATGTAGCTTTTCTTCTTGCTCGTTCTGCTCCCGCCGTTCTTGCTTCAGCCGGTGGTGTAGGATATGGATAGCAAGTAATAAGAGACAGCAAGGAAGGAGAAAGTAGGCGATATTGTGCCAATTTTTAGGAAGAGAAATATATGAGCTACTCATTAAACTATGGGTTGACGAGGAAAACCTTTGGTTCATTTGCATATTTGCTCAATATGGTGCAGAAAAAGATGATTAGGGAATGTCTGGCGAGGTATGTGCAACTGGATTTAATAATGTGAATCAGACTCCCATATACGAGAGACAGCTGGAGTTCACGTAATATCTCTTGTCCGAGTTTCACTAGGAAGCAGTCCTCGGTACAATACTTAAGCTCTACCTAGGCACCTATGTTTGCTAGCTCTTTCTTTCATACTCTACATTATCTCATCGCGATGCAATAATAGGGTAATGGAAGTATGATATTCAGTGAGACACTGCAGTTTTAACTCCCTTATTGCACTGACGAGGGATAATTTGCATTATGTACTGTAACATGCTGGGGTAAGCAGAGGGACTTTCTAAGCGAGGCCAACAAACTATTACCGGATATTTGTGTTTCAAGAAAGAAGGGGAGTGGTGATGTCGACATTCTATTGATTTCGCGATAGAAATATAGGCCACGAGAGTTGCAATACTCGCAAATATTACGATTGCCGCATATTCGGCTTGTCATCAGCGAAGAAACACGGTGGTCACAAAGGTCTGGTGGGAAATCGTTATCTTTTCCTCTATTCTGAACAGAATGTGAGGGAACTACTCTCGGATCAGTATCTTGCTGGTCAATCTTCCGAGGCAGTTCTCACAATCCGCTCAGTACTAGGTATGGAGATTCAATGCTCACAACCAATACCATGCATTTCCGTCACCCGTAGCAGATACATGGCTACGAGGCGTGTCTCTATAATTTGGCAAATTCTATCTCTAATAGAGCGTCTTCCATTTTCCCCGTTCGTCCGGCTTCGGCGTTACTACCGACTTGACCAAGACCACGAGTTCCTCAGTGTTGAGGCATATTGATTTCCTCCGCAGCACTTATATTTAGTCTCTCGCTTCTACTATTCCAGTTTTGACTCTATCCGGAGCACCTGTAATCTACACACCGAGACGATTTACCTTCTCAATTATCCCGGATCCCAATACCCCTTTCTTCAACAAGATGAGCTCGAACCAAGCAGATGGGAATAGCAACAAGCTCATCTTGACAAGGGAGCTCCTCGATGAGGCTCTTCCCAAGTTCAACATTGCCACCAAGACAGTTCATGCGGATGACTTTTCAAGTACTCAGAAGGCCATCGCCCCTTGCATGCACAGAGCTGCCAACTTCCAGTATCACCGTGATCCCGAGGTATTGCAGCCTCATGAAAACACAGATGTATGGACCTGCGGATAGCCTTTCCATACATTGTTTCTTGGGAGATTGACTGACTCCGTCTGTGATTCAATGTAGCCTAGCAACCCCCCAGGAATCTCATATATATGCCCGGTATACAGCCCCGAACACCACCCGTTTCGAGAAAATGCTCAGGGAAATCTTTGGTGGTCACGTTGTTTCCTATCATTGCGGTCTCGCTGCCTTTCCACGGCATTGTGTGCCTTCTTAGGCCTAAGCGTGTCTTCATTACCGAAGGGTATCTTGGCGTCCAAAAGTTAACTCTCGAAGAACTTGACCGGCTGGAGGCTGGCGACATTGTCCAAGTCGAAACACCGCTGAACCCTACCGGCACAGCGCGCAACCTCGAGTACTATGCCGAGAGAGCACACGCTAAGGGCGCCTATCTTACCGTCGACTCAACGTTCGCGCCCCCTCCGCTTCCGAACCCTCTCGATCAGAGTGCGGACCTTGTCATGCATAGCGGGACCAAGTATATTGGGGGTCATTCCGATATGCTCTGCGGTCTGTTAGTCGTTCCTCAACATCGTGTCGATGAGGGCTGGGTCGAAACTCTGATCGAGGACCGTCGGACCTATAGCTCAGTGATGGGTAATCTTGAGAGCTGGCTGGGGTTGCGATCGCTGCGCACATTTGATCTGCGTGTTGGTAAACAGCCGGCCACTGCCACCGATCTAGTCGCCTGGATCAGCACTGAGCTGCAGAAGCCTGACTCAGTCATTGCCAGAGCAATCGAAAGGGTGGAGCATGCGTCAATCCAACATGACGCTCTTAAGGACGGCTGGCTCCAGAAACAGATGCCTGGCGGCTAAGGGCCCGTCTTCTCAATGTGGGCGAGGAAGGCTGACATTGCTCAGAGACTTCCAAGTAGGCTTTACATTTTCCAGCACGCGACAAGATTTGGCGGCGTAGAGAGCTTGATGGAGTGGCGTGCTATGAGTGACGAAGGACGAGATGCCAAAGTTCTACGAGTAAGCTGTGGAGTAGAGGATGTCGATGATATGAAAGCGGACATCCTGCAGGGCCTGGAACACTTTATTCGTGATTTCCAGTAGATTACCCAGGTTGGTATTAGGGTTTTCAATTGAGCGGTGATCTAGATATGTTCCGACTTGTAATCTGTGCATGATATGACTCTTGATTCAAACCTATTTGTAAACGGGGTCGAAATTACATCTGGTCCCCAATGATGTCTGCCTTACTCCACCCCTTGTCCCTTAGCCTTTTCTTGCGCCTCCCTGTGAAGAAACCCTGAACCTGCCTTCGACCGGCAAACACACAGTCTATATAAAGCACTGCGAGTAACAGACCAGTACATACGACCATAGGATGTGCATAACAGGGCTTCCTGTCCGCTCAGCCGTACTAAAGTCGCACGCCGGGTGGGTGACCAGTGAATAGTAGTAGTTCAAGTTAAATATCTCTTCTATTTATATATTCCGTACTCTGTATATATATATATTTCCTCCTCTCTTAACAAGGGATAGCAAGAATATTATCCCGTAATAGGTAGCCGTCTTGCTGGGATACGCAGAAAGCCCTATGTTATGGACATATATTGACAAAACTTTTTATTGCTTTTCATCATCCTCCTAGATTAACATGTCACCTTGAGTTAACACATTTTACGCGCTATTCTCTCGAATGCTATGTTTTTCTTCTTTTCATTCCTTCAATAAAATAAGTGAACGTACTAGTGATTTAGCGTTGCAACCTGGACTTTGGGACTCTACAGTCAATATGGTTAGACCATCGGTTCCACCCAATAGCAACTATCCGAGGCCCTTCCCCATCCAGGCCAACATTCAGGCAGCCACTAGGCATCGCCGGCCTCATGACACTAAAGTACCCTAGCATGGCAAATTTCAGGGGCAGTTGCAAAATTATAAAATTGCCATTTCCTCACAAACAAAGAAAGTCAACAACATCATTCATACCAGTGAATTAATCACAATGGCACCTGGTGCACTATATAGCCATATCCGCAGTAGCGGCCACGCCATTACCAAAGTACATCGCGAGACTCAACATGAGTTACAAATAGGTAAGTCGACGATCCCGGCGATCAAATTATGCCAAAAATAGATTAAATATTAAACTGATCGTCACAGTCGATCGACTCCTGGAGCCCCAAACAATCGTCCACTTTCTAGAATGCTGCAACGGAGCTCCACTTCCTAATGGAAAGCAGTCGACGCTACCCCAATTAACATCCGAGGAGATACGTAGTCTCTCTGCTAACCCCGGGGAAGACCCCAACGGCGAGCCGTTTCTGCAACGAGTGTTGAAAAGAATTGGGTCCACGGAGGACGGCGATCGTCTTTGCCTTGTGGGGAAGAATATCCACTCGGCCAAAAGTCGAGCGTGGGAGGGCATCATCCCGCTTTCGGAGCAGCGTTGGCGCGAGAAGGAACTTGATCATCTTGCTAATTTTCAGGTCGCATGTCAGTATCTTTCTTCTGTGCTTGCTGTCTTTGAGTACCTCAACAAGCCACAGGTTGCGCAGAATCTTCGGGATACGTTCAACTTTATCTATGGGCATTGGGAGGAGTACGATGCGGTTTTGAATGATCAGCGTCGTCAATTGGATCAGGAGTCTGTTAGTGTGGCGAAGCGATGGACAGAGTTTATCAAGGCTCATTATGAGGTGATGACTGAGCGTGCGCATCGATGGGTCATTGCGCATGTGAACACATTGCGGGCACCCCTTCTGGAGGGGTTATTGTCACATCGTCCGATGAACGAGGATGTGGCGGATAGGGTGCAGTGGAAGATAACGGACGCTCTACATGTACTCATGGAGATATCGGCTGTGGCGGATTATACGATCATGATACCTATGCATGGGTATAAGGGGTATATTGCACCTGCGATTGAAACGGGTATTCCGCCAGGGCTTAGGTCGCCCGATTATGAGAAGCGGCATAAAGAATATCACCAGAGGTTGAAGTTGGTCTCTCGCATGACCATGTTCCAGAATATAGGCACCGCATCTCGGGGTGTTCGTGAAGGCATGGGATCACCAGAATCCCTCCACCGTACAGCTCTGCAGCAGATTGAGAGCCAGAACAAGGTCCGACGGGAAACAAGGGGCGAGCCTATAGAGCCAGTGCCGCGTGAGCCGTGGATTATGAAAAGCTTAGCTAGGGCGGAAACATCTGAGAACAATCCTGTTGGCGGATTTGGACTTGCCATCTACCGTCTGACCTACAAGCAGAACGAGTCTGAATGGGCGGAGTTTTTGCAAAAGTTCGAGGCGCATACCGCAGACTGGGGTCGGGGTCAAACGGGGTCTAACGCTATTAAACCGCTTTTAAAGCTACATTGGCTAGACGGAAAGGCTCTAGGGATTCCAGAGGGGGACCTCGATGCGGCGAAGAAGTGAGTGAGATGCATATTATTGACCCCAAGTTTAGCAGTATTAATCATTCATATTTCTTTAGGCATTTCAACGACCACGCCATTCCCTCGTTCGAGGACAAGGACCGTGTCAAGGGCAACACATTTCTGGTCATTGATGATGCCTGCGTAGCTTCCTACATGGGAAATTCATACTCGGCTGCCACCGAATTCATCCCATCCGGCGATCATTTAGGCTTCGTTCTCGCAGTCGATGCTCACTATGATCCGAAGGAAGGCATTGAACGCCCGGACGAATCTCCCGGCTACCACGGACAAATGCGCATTCTGGGTAATCTGATTTGGGGAGATCTCTACGCAATGCTGTCATCCCAGTCTGCTTTATTAGAGGACCTCTGGCCTCTGGCCATCAACCACCCAAACGGGGTCTACACTGGCCCCACTGTTCCCATGCAGGCAAAATGCTGGAAAATCCAGAATAGGATGCGATTCACTTTGATCCACAAGCTTGTAGAATATGCGGAGGCAAAGATAAATGGGACAGCATCAACGCCACCACCAGCTCCACCCTCAGGACCTCCACGAAACGAGCCGAATGCCGCCCTTCGGGCCTACCTGCTGCGACAGTTTGCGCGGGATATGCGGCGTGAGGGTAACTTACAACATGCAGTATTCGCCGAAGAAGCTATCAATTTGCGGCCCGACGAAGAGCCTGACTGGGATAGGATTCAACGGCGTTTGGACGCTGAGGCTGAAGGGGGGAATGAGCCGGAGTCAAATATGCGGGATAGAGAGGGTCCTGATAATGGGTGTGCCCCTCAATAGACATCGTAAGAAAAGATATATATATGGACTTAATACAGAGTAGACGAAGCTACTCACTACTTTCACATTGTCAATTGGATTCCTTTGGCCTTCATTCGTTATTAATGCTTTCACTTCATTTGCTACTAAGAACTGAGGTGTAGGATCTCTAGTAATCCTCCATGCTTCCTTGATGCATCAAATCTTGTTTTATAGCCGTGTTTCTCGGGTCGAGGGACCTAATGGACTTTTGAACCCTTCAAAGCCCTTAGCTTTTATGTCAGCCAAATAGGCCCTAAACGACCCCAGACCCCCAAAATAAAAAGATGCTCCCACAGCCTTCCCAGTGACATTGTGTCCGAATATCCAAGAAGGAACTTTCTCAAACATTGTTCCCGCTACCGAGGACTGACTGCGTTCTGTCCATGCGCGCTCAGCCTCTGTTGAGGTTTCGATTTCGCACTGACGTCCCGTTCGCTTCGATATCTCCTCGGCTCGCCGGACCAAATCCATAATAAATTCGATGTTAGTCTCCCCTGACGTAGGAATATTGGCAAACGCCATGTGCGGCCCATTGACTAGAAGAAGATTTGGGAATCCATGCACAGACATCCCTACGTAAGTGCTTGGGCCTGACGGTTTCCACAGATCATACAAGTTTTTCCCATCGCGGCCGCGAATATCAACCATCGCATAGGTGCCATCCACGGCATCAAACCCGGTCGCAAAGATTATTACATCGAGCTCATGGGTCGTGCCATCGGCCGTACAGATGCCGTTGGGTATAACCTCCGTAATAGGAGTCTTCTTAATATCCACCGCAAAGACATTCTCCTTGTTGAACTTGTCATAGAATCCACCATCACACAGTGGTCGACGTCCATAGAGTTCCTTCGGTGTCAGAACGTCTCGCTTTTGCGGATCCTTGACAATGCTGGCGATCTTCTTACGCAGGAACTGACATACTTCCTCATTCGCAGCTTCATTCGTGATAATATCGGAGAACCCACCAAACATGAACTGGAAGCCATTTCCGGTCTTCCATAACTGCTCGAGTAGTTCCTCGCGGTCTTCTAGTGACAGTGACATGAATGTTCTTTTAGGCTCTGTTGTCCCCATAGCAAAGATGGAGGTACGGGCATCTGCGATGAGTGCTGGATAGTTTTTGTTGACCAGTGCGCGCTCCTCCGGCGTAACGTCCCGGTTCCCACTAGGAACACTGTACTGCGGGCGTCGGATAAATACATGAAGGGATTTAACCTTGTCAGCGATGGCCGTCACGACTTGGACACCCGATGATCCAACGCCGATAACACCGACACGCTTATTCTCGAGGTCCACGTCTGGGTTCCACGCCGAGGTGTGGTTGATCTCTCCCTTGAATGTGTCTATCCCCGGGATATCAGGGTACTGGGCTTTAACCAGTAGTCCAAGCGCCGTGAAGAGGTATCGCACATGGAAGACATCGCCTGTTTCGCACTGAACCTTCCAGGTCTTGGTCGTGTCGTTCCATTCCGCCCGTTGCATCTTGGTGTTGAACTGCATGTGTTTGCGGAGATCGTATCTTTCCACAACGTCGCAGAGATACTGCAGGATCTCGGGTTGGGTGAGATACCATTTCTTCCAGGGGTAGCTTTGCAGGAGCTCGTGGTCAAACAAGAATCGATAAAGATGACTCCATGTATCGCTCAAGGCACCGGGATACCGATTCCAGTACCAAGTACCACCGACATCACCGGCTGTATCAATGGCTTTAACATTCAGACCCTCCTTGAGAAGGGAATAGAGCATGTAAATTCCACCAAAACCAGCTCCCACGACGAGGGCATCCAAATGGTGCTCCTGGGCCATAGTTCTATCGTCATATGCCAGCAGTCAGCAAGGTTAAGAAAAGCATCAGGAAGTACGCAACAGGCGGTTACTCCCCGCAATTTATCGAAGAAGCAGATCCTAGCGTCACATACCATTAACGTAAAAGCAATCCCACCGGTATCCACCCAATTCTGTCAAACACGTTATCATACAGCACAACCCCTGCACGCCGACAAGAAACGTTTCAAGATGATGGCTAGTACGGAGAAGTATCCGCCGTCAAGGCGCACGATGAGCGAAGTGGTTTATAGATAGGCCAATGAACAAGAGTCATGCGTAAGTCGCGTTACTCTCGTCCGAAGTCTCCTTCTCGTAATCCCTGTCTGATCCCTGCTCTTCAAGTGCGGTGGATATGTAGGGTTACTTCCATGGGTCGAACCCCCTCACTTACCTTTTCAGCTGTAATCGGTCAATGTATGTTCCGAAGTCAGCATACGAGGATAATATGCATAATATTCCTGTTATGGACACGGTCTGGACTATTCTTTTGAGTGTTGCAACAAGTGTTGTGATGATCAAGGCCCACTTTGTCACGGTCATAGGTTGTCTGTTTGCGTTGCCTCGTCTAGGGGCTGTTCTTATCATACATATCATAGGACACCATAATTACAATCGTTATTCCCATACGTCAATCGTATTTAGGGGTTTTGGTCTTATACAATGTGTGAGAACTAGGCATATGCCAAAGCGGTCGACTCACGTCTGGCGCTCATCTAATCGACTTGCCCTACATAGGTCTAATATATGTAACGATTTTAATATTTCCATACTTTTAGTAGAAACTATAATGTACATTGAAAATTGCCGAGGTGTTTATCGAAGGACAATACCTAATTTAAAATTGAATTAAAAAGCAAATAAAGCAAGACTAAAAAGAAAAAGTGAATGAAGCAAGACTAGAAAAGCAAGATATACAAAACCAGATGAAAGGAAAGAATGAAGATAGAAAGGAAAAAAATAAGATAGACCGAGAGATAAAATATTATAACTAAGGCCGATACGAGATACGTACCATCAACAAATGTGGTTGCTAAGGCATCTTGTCATTAGTAGAACGATGCCTAGATCTAAGCTACATCAATACAGAACTATTTGGCTTTGAAGAAAAGAGATTCTACAATTGATAGTTAGCCCCGATGTTTTCTTCACGTCGTTGGACCAAAAGCCCTTTATAGATAACCAAGTTTCTATTTAATTCTTTCTACCCATCCTCAGCGGTTTAGCTTCTTCCCTCGTTATGGACTTCTAGAAGACATGTTCTCTGGTAGAGATAGGCCTTTAGAAATGTCCACTAATGTATAAAACTTAAATGAGACGGCCAGCATCAATGCTCTAATTATGTAGAGACATGAGACAGCTATCTAGCGATTGACTGATTCATTAGATCCCGATCGACATCTTGATTCGAGGGACTTAGAGAACCTCCTCCTCCAAGCTTCTGAACTTCCGCTACCCCATTCGGCTTGGGAACTTCTGTCTTTCAACTGACAAATATCGACATTGACAAAGCATTTGGAATAACCTGGAGGCATTTACCGCGGTGGCATATTCTGAATATTCCTTTTTGATAGTTTGCGTCTTGCTGGCAATTAAATACTAAAACTTTACTGGAGTGAGTGAGGAATGCAGTCTCTACTTTGCGATTGATCGCAACGCTTTTATGGCACGGGTTCCATCCATGATACCTTTGTGAGTGCTTCTTCCCTTATACCTCCGTATTCAAACTCCGTCTCGGGCTACGGCATGCCGATCTAGACCTTTTGTAATGATTAAATGGCTAAGTAAACCGCCTAATAATAATCTTTCTTACAACTTAAACACCGGTATAATATTCAGGTACCTGCTTTATTCACTATGACTTCCCCCTGAGCTCCTGGACCGAATAATTGGGTGGAAATATAAATTCAATCTGAAGCTATGCTCAATCTTTATAATACCAGGCAAGCTTTTGCAAACCATACCGGAAATAAAAACACTCAGAAGGAAAATAACTGGAGAATATTCTAAAATATATACAATCTGTTGAAAATAGTACCACCACCACCACTCTCAATAATTTGGTCCCTCTAGAAGAGAAGCCGAAGCGGGCCTCAACGGCAGAGGAACTTCCTCCTCATAAACCGGACTCAAGGGCGTCGGCGGCCCAAAACCATACGACTCATCCGACGTAGCGTGGCGAACCTCTGGCCACCTTTCCGTCGGGGCATGTCCCGCTCTGGGTTCAGTCTCCGGCTCGACGATCTTGAGCTTCTTGTTTTTCTTCTTCTTCTTATCCCGTTTCCGGAGTGGGGCCCAGGCGCCGCCCCAGTCGTCATCTTTGCGCTCTGCGTCGGGCTCGGGCTGAGTTTTGTGCTCAGGTTTCGGAAAGGAAGGCTGCTCGTCGACGGCGATGGTATCGTCGGTAGGATGCGGAGAGGCAGAAGGAGGAGGCGACGGAGTCAGCGGCCAGTCCTCGCTTACTGGTTCTGACTCTGCCTGTTGCTGTCGTTTTCCACTGTATTCACCGGTACCTTCGTCCTCCGTCGACCCATCGTATCCATGGCTGGGTTCGACTTCGGGCACGACATCCTCAAACGCAGGCTCTCCCTCTGGCTCTTCATGAATCGTTTCCTCGGAGATGCGTACCGCATCCCCATTGGCCATAGAATGGACAATATGTCGTCCGTTCTCGAGTCTCCGGAAATTCACTGTCGCCAACTTCTCCGAGTATATCTCCGCCATAATCTGCACGAGCAGTCGGTCGAATGACGCATCCCGTCCAATTCCATTGAGAAACCACTCTCGCTTGAACACCGCATCGTCGGCCTCGAACTCGTCCTCCATCTTCACTCGTATGTAATCCTGGAACCACGTCTCGTCTCGCGGTAGCTTAGAATAGATACTCCGCGCGATGCGGAGAATATCTGGAGTAGGCACATCGCGATCGAACACTTCTATGTAATGCTTCGCATGTGCCTCCAGTCCGCCGAGACCATATTTCCTCGCCGCCAGGTAGGCAAATGCGCTACGTCTGTATTCTATCGTTCGTCTGGGGATGCTGGGGTCCGGTCCATCGCGGAGAGTTTCATATTCGCCTGTGTAGAGATAGTGAACAAGGGTGTGGCCGATGTCTTCGTCGACGTCGAGACTAGACACGAATTTAAGACTGGGGTTGTAGCCCTGTTCGAAGGTCTTGGGACTTCTCCGTAGTTGGGGGAATTGACGCAGGTAGAATTCTGGGATGATGTATTCATCTCGACCGATGATGAGTGTCACGACTGGGGCTTTGTAGGGGCTGGTTTTGAGTCGTTAGTTGGCCGTGTTTGTAATTCCTCTATTTTCTTTTTTTTTTTTTTTTTTGTGGTTGATGATGGATAAAAGAATGAATGAGGGTTTTCAATCGAACCTTGTCGTCGGTTGTGGATATTCCCTAACCTCGCCGTCCATGTACGACGTCGTCTCTTCGATAGGATCTAGATGCATGGTCGTTCGTCCGCTATTATCTCCTTTCCTTTCCTTTCTCTTTTCCCTCCTTCCTGCTTTGCTTTTCTCTGCTTCTTTTTACTTCTTAATCCAAGATTTCAAGAATAGTCCCTAGAGCAACACACCACTGCAATCCCTAAAAAAGTCCAAAACCAAAAACCAAAACAAACCGGAGAATTTCCTAACCCCACCCAGACGAATCCCGTCTTTATTAAAGAAAAACTCCTCGCCTCAATACAATTAATCTTTCACCTTTCTTTTTCTTCCAAGGCATGGATGAATGAAAAGGCAACGGTCAGGGATGAAATGCAGGTATGAGCTGTCCAGTCACACTATCTGAATAGGGTCGTGCGTCAAATTGGATCCGCCAGACACGTTGGGCTTCATAGCCTCCATCCTTCCGGGCAACCACGTCAGTCTCCAGTGGTTTTGTTTTTGTTATGCATGCGAGGATGCCTTTAGGGCTTTATGTGGGCCTGAGGGGGCGGGGATTGGGCGGTGAGTCTTTTCTGTTCTGTCTGGTGGGTGGACTTGTAGAATTGGGTGGGCTTTATTGTTGTCTTGTTTTGATGGATCTTGGGCTATGGATTTGGGGATCAGGTACTACTATGTATGTATGTAACCAATGTACTTTGGGGGGTTGGGGAGGTTGTTGGTTTTTTCTGCTTGGTTGGGATTGAGATGAGGGTTTGGGTTGCGGGAACGGAATTCCCCGCATTTGGGACGTTAGGGTGTTGTTTATGCATGTACTCTGTTTTTCAAGGGGTTTCATGATTTGGGATGAAATAAAATAACATAAAAATTAACTGAGGAGGGGTGTAAGTGTGAGGAACTTGTTTTGATTCAATCTAGACCGCTTTTTTTGGATTTAATTCTCGTTCCGCTTGGTTTGATAGTCACCCTCCTTTCTATTTCTAATCTTGGGTCTACTTCACCATGTTATGTGTCACTAACTCACTTTAGAGCTACAGAAGTAATTTGTTTAGAATCATGAAAAAATTATTTGTAAATATTTCTAAAGGTTTAGTACAACATTTATGGCTTCGACACGCCTTCAGGTCCACTCCCATGCAATAAAACACCAATAAATATGCTCTGAGAAACCGCCGACTGCGAGCATGGTTTATATGAATATGACAACCCATGCTAAAACAAAAACGCCAAAATAACCAAAAGTAAAATTATAAAGCTCATGTGAAGATATAGCTCACACTGTTCGAACGATGTCGCCTGCGTCTTCGGTGAGTGTGCGATCGGGAACTGTGTGTCGATCCTGCCTCGCTGTCCTGGTACGTTTGGGCACGGCGAATAGACCCACGACTAGCTTTCAGCGATGATATCTCGCCTTTTTCTGGCTCGGGCGCTGTGATGGCTGCAACGGGGGTTGGCTCTGGAAGTTGAGGAACCTGAGGCTGTTCTATCGTTTGGGCACTGGCGCCGAGGAAACGGGGAGGTGGGTTTTGGACGAGACCGACTGGTAGGTACAATTAGCTACTATTTTCATGAAACATGGATGTGGAACATTTATTTTTAGATTTAGGTAAATGTAGGTAGCTTTACCTTGAAGCATGATGTTGTCCCATATCGACCGCGGCGGTTGAAATACCCCGATATTCTGAACGGCTTTCTCATCCACCCCTGGTAAGTTCATCCACACCAGATATGTTCCGCGGTGGATGTCGCCCTCAATCCGAAACGGATGAAGTTTCTCCGGAATTAGCAGTGGTGTAGGGATAATAATTGGCTCATACGCCGGAATAACCAAGTGGAAGAAAGGTGGTCTCCGTCGTGGATGTCGCGTGGCGTATACATCTCGGACAGACGACATGAAGGCGACCAGGGCATCGAGGTCATGCACAATGCCAATAAAATTCCGACCCAAAAGACCCTTGGTCCGCAGCTTCTCCTCAAAATGATATGTCCAGTCTGTGTCCGGATGATACACGAAAAACCAGTCTAGCTCGGGGTCCGACTTTTCGATCTTCGATTTCAGCATCACATAGATATTCTCGGCGAAGGCCGTCCCCCCTGCGAGCGCCAGTTCGGCTCTTTGTGTTTCGCTCATACTTTTCAGGTGGCCTGCGATCGCCCGCAGCTCACCCACGCCTTGATAAGTTGCAATCATGTTGGCGGCGATGCCGACTGCTCCCACGGTACCCGTAAACGCGGATGCATAGGCGGCTTTGTCGCCGAACGAGTTCGCGGCGATTTTGATCGTCTCGATGACCTTTTTCACGGTATCGCTGGTGATATTGAGTTTCTGGCCGACTTCCTGTATCGTTTTCAGAGCGTCGTTTGTTTGCTCGGCCAACTCCAGCGCCTTCTTCTTCCGTTGCTCGAATAGCATCATGTTGCCGGTGTATGTCCGCTACGGTGGCGGACCGGGCGCGGTTTTCTCGTCAAAATTCTTCTAGCGGTGAATGGATCGTCCCAGAATTGCTCGAACACGGTGGATCGAATTCGACCAGTGGACTACCCAGCTCGGGCGCTACTCTATCTCGAAAGTTTTGGTCGAATCTAAGCAGGTAATATGTCAGTGAGAGTGAACAACCCCCCGGTTCTTTGAAGGATAAACTCACATATAGCCATGGTGATACGCACAACGAAGACCAACTGTCATGTTTTAATTCCCTTTCTGCGTCCAGATGAAAGCTCCATAATATAGAGCCCAAGTTAGCTATCCTGGGATTAATTGGGCGCCCCACAGCCCGATCATTGGTTATCCGCATCGACACGTATGTTGGCTCCGTTTTGCTTCGCTGTACCTCGATGGAGCCACTTCGGTTGAATTGGAGACTGATTCATTTGACAACCAATTGTCCATTCTCATTGTCAACTATGAGTGAGCAAGGAAAGAAATATCCGTACCCATTGTGAATGCCAGTTGTGAATGTACTGGTTAGGGCTTTAGTCTAAAAATGGTTTGTTAGGGTTCTTCCGAGTGGCTGATGGTTGACTCCGATTTAATCAGACCTCGGCAGCCCTGACGAGGCCTGCCAATGTGGGGACATCTTATGTTTCGTTTCACATCCACAACGGTCGGTAGTCTACGCCTCTTTGCATTGTGACTGCAATCTCCTCGTAGACGAGCCGGACCAAGAACATTTCAACTGAGCTAATTTAGCAATAAGCGGCGTTGCCCTCGGGACCGCATACCCGATCGCCTTCCAACCTTGACAAGTGATCTCCGTTGACCCTAGTAAAAGAACCATAAAACGAACCAGATATAATTCCTATGGGAATTCTGAGTGTAGGATGTCCTTGCCAAGGTGGACGATTTCAGTGTCTCAAGAGCAATCAGACTGCGGCACATAGTTACAGACAAGTTGTCAATGAAGCCAGCGAAAAGACGCGGTGTGTAGTGAAGCAATGGTGGTTCTTCTAGCGTTATTTCTTTACTCAACAATGGAAGGGAAGAGACAAAACACAAGGAAATAACTAGGTGTTGGACCATCGTACTATCATATAGATGTTCTTGCAGAATCGTCTTCATACTCACAATCGATTCCGAACATAATCACTTCTGCAGTACACAGTGCAACAAGACTGAGCTTTGGCGCAGGTTCATTGGCATTGCGAGATTGTTGTTATCCAGCGTCGGCACCAGATGAAGGAACATAGAGGACACTATATCGGGTCTTAGCGAAAGAAAGCGAAATGCAAGTCAGAGCTTAATGATACGTGATCTTGGCAATGCGAGTATTACTATCTTTGAGCACAGACTAGAGTGTACCACCACAATCCTCCACATAAATAACCGTTATGCAGACAGCTTGACCCACAATTGCTCATTGGCCAGGCGCAGCGCAGATTATATTGCAGCCTCGCAGGAATCTCATCTGATAAAATACGAGTATGCATCCGCGCTTATACATCAGATAAAGCCTCCGAGGGCCTTGATTCATAAGCATATCTGACCAGATGATGTCACATGCGAGCAGCTAGAGACACAACTGGCCAGGAGCTGAGGCAGTGAAAAGTAAATATTCGAGCGGATTCATCTATCTCCAGCTCAGTTGCATAGATTACGGTCTTGCCAATCTTTCTACCCCGCGGGGCTGTGCCACGGAGATCAACTAGTAGACTAGCAATGTACCTAGGCCCCCCACGCCCTCGATCCGAGCTTTGCGAATCCGGTCATCCTTGGCTAGGATGTTCTTAATATATAGCTTGGACACGGCCTGTCCTACAATTGAGCCAATGTTTTCAGAATCACATCTCCTGTAGTACAACATTGAACCATGGCGTCTACAGCATTTCCCTCCTTAGCGAAAAAGGTCCAGCTCTCCGATGGCACAACTTACGGCTATGTCGCTGTGCCTCCTTCGACTCCAGACCATGTCTCCTTTCTCCTTCTTCATGGATATCCTTCTTCATCGTATGACTGGCGTCACCAGATAACTGGCTTGCAGAAAGCTGGATATGGTATTATTGCGCCGGATCTTCTCGGCTACGGCGATACTGATAAACCCACTGATCTCAACGCTTATCGCAACAAAACCATGAGCAAGCATATCATTGAGATACTGGACAGAGAAGGTATAGAGAAGGCAGTCATGGTTGGGCACGACTGGTACGTCAACCCACGCTTCTCTTACCATTTCTCCCATACTTCCTATATCCCTGTTCTACAAGAGGGAATACAACCATCCCTACTCTAAGAGGCCAATATCTTGCGCCAATTGTACCCTTATCACCAACTAATGAAATCCTCTATACCAAACAGGGGAGTTGGCCTTGCATCCCGTCTAGCAACATACCATCGTGACCGATTCTACGGTCTAGTCACAATCGCCGTTGCATACATTGAACCAGGCGTGACCTGGAATGTCGGTCTGTGCCCTACTAATCCCCTTACCTTCCCCATCAACACACTCCCCAGCTAACGACCCCAGACTCTATCTGCGAAACTACCAAAAACATAGTTGGCTACGAAACCTTCGGCTACTGGAAATGGCACAACACCGCCGAGGCCGCTCAAGACTGCAACAACCATGTACGCACCCACCAATACCAATATACATAATTCCCAAAACTAACAAAGATTATTCAAATACAACAATAGCCCGCCTCAACCTTCACCCTCCTCTACCCCCACAACCCCCTCCTTTGGAAATCCGACTTCGCCCCAACCGGCAAAGCAGCCGAATTCATCCGCTCCGGACGCATAGCTCCCCTCCCGTCGTGGTTTCCTCTCGATGAATATACCATCCATGATCGTATTTTCTCCAAGGGTGGCTATGCCGGGCCCCTGTCGTGGTATAAGGCTGCTATTGCGGGTGTTGATGCGGAAGATGAAGCTGCTATCCCTAAGGAAGATAGGCTGTGTCCAGTGCCGAATTTGTTCTTGGCGGCGAAGCAGGATTATGTCTGTCGGGCGGATTTGCAGAGTATTTCTACCCGGGAGGTGGCTCCGAATGGGAGGATTGAGGAGATTGATACCGGGCATTGGGTGCAATTGGAGGAGCCGGAGGTGGTGAATCGTTTGCTGGTGGAGTTTGCGGTTGAAGTGAAGGGGAAGGAGTGATGGGGTTGCTCAGGTATGGGCTTGTTGGCTTGGTTCTTCTGTCTGCTGGTTATGCTTTGGCTCGTTCATTGTGAGATTGAGGCCTGGATCCTCTACTTGAACATGTTGCTTGGTATATATGGAGTGACCATGGATAGATGATCCATTCTAAACTCGCCATATTACATATGGAAGTTATAAAGCCCCATTTCAACCTGGTCAGCCACCTTCCCAAAGCTATTCGGTGGAAGAGTAAACCAAACAGAGTATGGGTATTGACCATCGATGGGCTAAGATAGCTCATCAAGCGGGTAGAAACAACTGCCAATGCCGTCAGTCCATAGTTTCGACAAATTGGATCAGACGTACCAGTGATAGTATTCAATCCAGCGATTGTATGAGGCATAACAGGCATCGGACCTAACCCATCAGGTCGGATGATCCAGGTAACACGCTTGCCCATAGAGCAGAGCAGATGGGCTGCATCATATGCCGACTTCCCTGCTCCCAGCACCACAACATCGTGGGATGCTTCTAGAGTGTGCAATATCTTGGCAATATCTCGAGAATGGGCTACAATAGCACCAGGCTCTACCTTGGAAGGCGCCTCGGCTGGGACGGAAGGGACGCCGCAAGCAAAAATCAGCTTTGTTGATTCGATATGACGGCCGTTGACTGTCGGTCTCCATCCACGCGGACAGCGCTCAGTCTTCGCGACCCAACTATTCAATCTAATAAGGGGCATGAGATCACTCTCTATGGCGAATTGTTCGAGATACTTCTGGACCATCTCGCCGGTCACTAGATGGATGTCTGGCACCCCATTGGTTGACATCGGCGTACCGGGATAGTTGAAGCACCCGAATCCAATCTGAATACATTTGTTAGACAAGGGGCCAGGGTACAAGGTAAAGACGGTAGCACACCTGCGCTACGAGCGTGGGATAGATGTGCTCCTTGCTCTAGAAACCTCCAACACAGTTTTCTCTATCGAACACAGCTAGGTTAGTATTCAGCTCCAAGTCAAGGTACGTTCTGGCCGCTTTGAGTCCAAGCCATCCTTCATGTAGAGTAGATACCCAAAAGCAACGAGTTATGTAGATGGTGTAACATACCCGCGCCGATGGTAGCAACATCGAGGAGTTCGGTTGACACTTCTGGCATCGTGGCGATGAAATTGAAATGGCCTGCCTTTGTAATTGACACACTAGGAGGGCACTAGGACAACGCTAGGCCATGCTGCAGCGATGAAGTGCTAGAAGGTTATTATAAGGCCCGATGCCTTACGTCACTATCTGGCGCCACAACTGTATTTTTATTCGGCCATTGGCCATGATCCCGGACACATCCGCATCTCAAAACCAACTGACAAGATAGATGTCAGATCGACTTGGCAGAATTTTCAGATTGTAACACTATCTGCTGCTTTATAGGTCAGCGCAAGAGCGGGTGAGCAGAGTGAAGATGTGGGTGGCTGAAGCTATCAATCGGGCGAGTAAGATGATATAGTATAAGTCATTGACCTCTAGGTTTGCTGACTACCGCAGTAACAGTAGTCGGGAGTTAGGCTGTTATAGAATTAATGATGTATTTTCTGGACAGATCCCATCAACCATGCCCTCCTTAGGCGAAGTTATGTTGTATACTTTAGTTACTGTTTAGTATTTTGGTGTGTCCTATATGAATGCCTTTAGTTGCGCTTACGGTGTCTACAAAGGATGCGCTTGACTAAACCCAACACTAGCCCAATGATTCGATTATAGGAAGAAGGTTGGTTTCGGAGATAGTATACGTAGCACCTTTTAGAGGTCCTACTCGTCCACCAAGATAAGTGCGTTTCTACCACTGTCATTCTTCACTATACGTAGATCAGTAATATAAAATGAGTAATCAGTTCACCTGCACTCCTTGCTAGTCAAACTAACAACAATGGAGACCTCATCCATCCACATCGTTAAGCCGCACGGAGACCACTCATGAGTCCAATAGAAAGTAATGTCAAAAGTGACCCCTACAATCACCTGGCAGGTACCCATCGACGTAGCCCCTTTCCCCCAAGACAAACCTACATAGGCCTGCACTTCATGCTCTCAATCATATTGTTGATGTTGTCATCGTCAAGTTTAAGGTGCTCGCCCTGCATGCCTTCCTTAAGCATCTGGTTGCAGGCGAACCCCATGTAGACATCGCAGATATACCCTGGACGGATGTTCATGGAGGAGATATTGTGGAACCTATTCTTCGCCTTAGAAGGGGATCACTTCCGATGCGGATAAACCACTTACCATGGAGTGTTTTCCGGAAATGAGTAGCAGAGATTAGCCTCGAGAAGCTGCTGGGAGTCCCCTTTGTACTCCATGTCTTGGTATATGGTGGCCTAAGGGTTATCTCGTTAAATGTGACTTGGATGGTCTGGGCTTTTCATGGGCAGGTCTGTTCGACTATCACTCGGGCTTTTACTTACCCCAGGATTGACCATCATAGAAGCAGGCTCGGCGGGGGCTCCGCTAGCTACTCCTGCCATCAAGAGGCCCAGGGTAGTTACGAAGACGGTTCCGAGGTTGAACATTTTGCTTGCGGGGGCGGAGTTTTCTTTTTTCGAATAGAGGTTGAAGAGAAAACTATACGCTAAGTGGAGCTGATGATATCCGATGAAAAGAGACGCAGTAACGAGGAAAAGGAGGGCTGTTTTATATCTTCGAGATCCATATCTCACTGGTCCTCATTTTGGACTAATCGGCCACCGAGTAGATCATTGTGTCAGGCCTCAATCACCACCACCAGCACCGCAGCTATACATTCAGATGAACAGACTCATACCGAACCGCAGCTATCGAAGTTCCAAAGATAGTCTTCTCGGTGGCCGATTAGGTTCCCAAATGTTCGGCGATGATATTACACCATTAGTTGTGCTTATGCTGCCTTCCATCCCTTGATAAAAGATACTATCATGACTTTACCTTTGTCGCACATGTGCATACCTGGGAGACCTATCTGACACACACACTTTTGGAATGTGAACTCCACTATTATACAACCCAGCCCGTGTTCCATGGTTCTTCAAGAAAAGATCCAAAACCAAGCCATGTTAAATAGTACGGCAAGCCATTACGGCCAACGCATATTGATTCATTCCTATATTTTCAACTTGTTTCTGCCGGCAGAATAGTCTACTCTACTGAAACTGCTTAAATTGTTTACTTAGTCTGCTTAATCTACGTAGTGTATTTCGGTGCTAACAAAGAGAGGGTTGCATTACTACCCTTGCATAATGCCGATTTCTATATATATGCAAGGTGAATCAGTGTACAGCAATCGAATCTGACTAAGTATTATGTTGAATACAACAGCACACATCAGACAAAGTGATATGCTGTTAGAGTTGTATGTCTTCATCACATGGTCTGGAATATCACACTGAGGATCCCTCTTAGTAGGATATTCATTCGATATCAGATTATTCGATGACGAAATGGAGAATAAGAGCACAATGGATGAATCATGACAGATTCCAGTGGGTTAAGGTCTTGGTTAACAGACAGATGATAAATCTATTCTGTACCGATATGTCCATGGTAGGATCGGGACATTGTGAATATGACCAGAGGCAGGTTTGGTGCCCGTAATGGGGATGCAATAACGGAGCTTAATACTTGCTGACACGAAGGGAGAGAATATTCCTTTTTGTTCTCTTAGCGAAAAAAAAGCGTTTGGAAGCTGTCTAGCCCACTTAACCACACTTATAATGGTTCTATAGCCTGTCACATAATGTGCGTTCTGGTGGGTTACAAGCCTGTCCAACCTACACAGCAACGATAGAAGAGGACATAGTGATTATATTATAGTAAGCCCTAAAACAAAGAGGATACTCCGTGTGCGCAATCATAAATCGAAAAAAATTCATTGAGAGTGAAAGTTGAGTGTTCCAGCACGCAACTGTGGAAGGTGACATAAAGCAGAGATCATGCTACAGGTTCACCTGCATTCTGCAGCTGCACCACTTCCGCCGCAGTGGGTAGCTCCGACCATAAATCGATACCATCAAGAAGGGCCAACGCCATTCCGCCTTCCTGGTGCGTCGTGATATGACAATGAAGCAACGAGGGGAATGGCCCGCCGACGTGGTACCGGATTGCCATCCATACTCCACCGTCCAAGGCTGCGGTGAGGGTGTTTGTCGTGAATGTGTCACGTAGTGCGGGCTTGTCGAGGTAGAACAGGTCAGGTCTCTCGCGCATTCCTTCATCGACAGTCGACCAATTGAAGAGGCCCATTCCGTCCCCAATGATGTAGGCACGGTTGCCGTGCTTGTGAATGGGGTGGGGTGGATGGATGGGGTCCATTTCTGGGTTGGATATGATTTGTAGAATAATGTCCACCCAGGTGTTGTTGAGTGTTTGGAGCGTGTAATTCGATCCTATGACATCCAGTGGCTGTTTCTCGAATATGAGGGGTGTGTCTGCTGTGATTTCAGGCTCGTATAGGACACCGTGCCCTATAGACCAGTGATACGAACTGTTGATACGTGTCATGTTGGTTTTTATGGTGAGGTCCGCGAAGGCCGGTGGCAGGGGAACATTGAACGCTGGGAGGTTCTGTGTGTAGTTCAAGTACCTTACGCTAGCGGATGTGTTCAGTCCGGCATAGTTAATGTATCCCTGCGTTTCAGGGCCAATTTGGGCTTGCGGTCGAGTCCCATTCTCCGTCGTGTTTGCGGCACGGTAGGAAAGGACAGCATAGCCGCTGATGACCTGGTCGCCTCCATTGTCGGTCACTCGAATCGCATAATCTCCGGGTGTTTGGTCCAGCTTGACAAGAGCCGAGTACCTAGCGCCGTTGTACATTCCAACCATCTCGTACTGACGCGGTTCCACGAACTGACCGTCTACCTCATATATCCACATTGGATGGTTGTCTACCGAGAAAGTGGTTCCTTTCTGCGCTTGTGCCCCAATGAAGTTCAGGCTCGCCCATCCGTCCTTAGCATCAACCTCGATTGTAGGCAACCCACCATCTGACGGGGTGCAGTTGTTGTGCATTGAGGATGGGACAAGACTAGGTTTCTGGTTTGGCCAGCTCCCCTGAACATTGTGCAAACTGGGCACCAAGCATCTATGCACAAGTTAGCCATAAGCAGCTTAGCAAACGCATTCCTTCATTCCTGCGGTACGTACCCTCGGTCAGTCAGATTCGTTCCTTCCAACACCAACGCGATCTGGGGGCCAATGAGTGATTGCATATACTCCGCTCCCGGGCAATAAACGGAACCTTTGCCGTTTACGAGGATACTGTCAACACAGCTACACCATGATTTAGCTCGCTGACCTCAGATATTGCCTGTCGCATCTTCAAACTTACAAGAGATTCAGACCTGAATCAATCTCGGCCTGAAAGTACTCATGAGCAGTAAAATGGGTCCAGTCGGTTATTAGAAGCAAGTTTGAGTTGGTTTCGGCGTGCTGCATTTGGGCTACCTCGGTGGCATCCTGGGCTATCATCAAGTACGGCCGGGCGGCGTCGGGCTTATGGCTGTAAATGTAAGCTATGCTCGGCCAAGCGTGCGGACAGCCCTACCGAATATACAGAGCTCCCACTTGCCCGTCCTGCAACACATTTTTGAAGTGCGAATGGTACCTACACGAGGTTAGGAGCGCAAGGGGAACTCATCGCAAGGCCACGAACCAGAATGTGCCTGCTGGGGAAGCTTTAAACTTGTAGATGAAAGATGAATTTGGCTGAATGGGCGCTTGCGACAGCCCGGGGACACCGTCCGACCACGGAGCGGATTCCATTCTACACAACGTTTTAATTAGTCAAAATTGAGACGGTGGATATCAGACGTATCTCACGATAGACCATGCCAGTGGACTGTGGTATTGAACGGCAGGTGATTGAAAACATGTATCTAGGCCAAGTCAACGACTACCGCGGACAGGTTTGCCTTGTTTCGAGATACCTCGACATCATCATCTTCGTCAAATACTAAGTCAGGCCCTGGATACTTCCCATTAGTAAGAACCATTTGCCGCGGGACACCATTGGGAGAGCCAACGCCCCAGGTGAACTCCAGTGTCTCGCGGACCAGCTTGGCCTGCACTAGGCCGAGCCATATGAAGAGGGCCGTCACGGCCGTAAGAACAGACATCGGTTAAAGAAAGACCTCATTTACTGAACAAGAAGATGTGATTTGGTAAAGTCGAGCTGGCCAACAACTCCAGTGCGACTAGCGTATCTTTAAGGATTTTACAGGTGAAAATATGCGTTTTGATGTTTCCGAATGCGGGAACGATCAGTCAGTTGGCATTGTGGCTTTGGATTGCTCGCGATTTCAAAGCAAATTTACTGCAAAGCTCCGTGCTTAGAGAAAGGTTTTAATGTCGTCAGCTGTGTGAACTAATTGGTGAAAGCCACATTAACTCCATTGGCTCCATCCAGATAAGGTCTGCTTGGTATGGACCCTTTCAAGGGATGGTGGAGACGCTCGAACCCACAACACGACTTGGAAGAAACGAGCCTTCAATTAGCATTTCGTGGCGGTTTTAACCTAGACCACGGAGAATTAATCCTTATGCTGAGTGCTCGACCAAGAAAGGGGATTAGACCTATCGGTGAGCGTATGAAAAAGTGGTCTCAGCTGGTTGGACCAGCACGTGGAGGAAACGCACAACCCCTTGCTTTGGAGTGCTGAATGCGTCTCATGTTTAACCGTTCAACTAAGGACGAAATACTTATCGGTAGCCGCTAATGGAAGAGAGAGAGAGAGAGAGAGAGCCCAAAGAATGTAAAAGACAGGCGTCATATTCATGAAAAGATATGCTAAAGCCCTGGCGAGCCATGTACCTAAGGCGTTATTAGCAATGCATGAGAAAAACTACCTCAAGGGCCCTTACCGCAATATCAATGCTCCTCCATTGATTCTTTCCCGTCCACAGATAACCCCTTGCATATCCCTACAGACTGGCTAGCCACTCCACATCGGCCTGTTTTGCAATGACCTTCCTCATGAGGACATCGTGAACCTCTTGGTCTCGATCCAAACAAAGATCCTCGAGCACCGTCAACCTATAATCCAGATCCGCTGCCTGTCGAACCGTGGACAGAACTGCCCCGCTAGTGATCAAGCCAACCACGACGAGATTTTCGATGCGGGCGCTGCGGAGAACTACGTCAAGGTCAGAGCCAACAAAGGCGGACACCCGACGTTTCGTGGTCACAATGTCATTCTCGTAGGGCGCCACAGCCGGATGTAACTCCACGCTGTCGTCTCCCTCGGTATACTTGCCAGTAGGAATGACTCTTTGCGCCGAGGGATTGCGAGGGTGTAAATCAGGGAAGCCACGGCGGAAAGCTGTTTTCACATGAATGATATGGATGGACTTTTCTCGGGCAGCTTTGACCACGGAGGCGAGGCGCTGGAGGTAAGATTCTTCTCTCCCCGGCGTCGAGCCGTCGAAGATCTGGCCCGTGACGCCTTTCTGGACGTCTAAGATAAGGAAGGCAGTCTTGGTCGTCGCCATTGTGGTATGTTGTCTCGTCTTGGTCCGAAGAATCCAACTGTTCCTTGTGGCGTGTTTAGGGTTTATATTTGATGTTTCTGCTCCATCCCAGTCCCACTGCTATGGCCGGTACCGGGTGGGTATCCCCGGTTCCGCTTGTATGTAACTATGTTCATCCTAATATGTTTATGTTCAAAGCCCTATATCACAACCATGACGATCTAGAAAGACCTCAAACTTTCCTTCCTCATACCCTCCAACCCCTGCCTCTGTCTCCCCGACTCATCAAAATTCCCTGAATCCAACCAGCCCTCAAGCCCCCCCCTTCACCCCCCGCTCCCATTCCCCCCTCAGCAACGAGAACCACGCCGTATCCCGATTCCTTCCCTTCACCACCATATGCTCCCTAAACACGCCCTCAAAAACAAACCCCAACCGTCTCGCCGCCCGCTTACTCCCCTCATTCAAATCATTACACTTCCACTCCACCCGCCGATACCCCAGCTCCTCGAACGCATACCTGAGCAACAGATACACCGCCTCCGTGGCACCCGTCGTACGCTGGAGTTCCGGCGCGAAGAGCACATGCCCAATTTCCAGGCGAAGGTGCTCCGGCACGATGCTCATGAGCGTGATCCAGCCTTGGGGTTTGTTGGTGCGGTGGTCGAGGATCGTATAGAAGAGGGGGTCTTTGCTGGTGGTTTTGTTCTGGATGGAGGTCGCGAAGTCCAAGTATGTGTCTTCTGGGTAGGGGCCTTCCGGGAGGTAGGTCCAGACCGAGGCTTTGAGGGGGTCGGTGGTACCCCCGACCACATTCCAGAGGTCCTGCGTGTGGGATTCTTTGATAGGGAGGAGGGTTATTGTCCGGCCAGGGAGGGGGTGGGGGGTTGGTGGTTGTGCGGGGGGGAGCAGGACTTCAGGTCCTGGGGATGGGTAGGTGGTCATTTTTCCGTTGTACTGGTAGTGGCTGGTAAAATGTATGTATATTGGTATGTAGGAGGTGGTACAGTGAGTACTAGGTGAGGTAAATGTGTTTGAGAGGTGATTAAATACACTTAATTCTATTTGGACTCGTTATCTGAGTCATTCTTTAGTTCTGTAACTCACTAACTCAGCCAGTTACTAAAGTTACCAGCTATGCCATGTAAGAGGAATCGCCGAGCTGCGTCATTCCCGTACCTTATTTTGTTATCTATCGAGATCGTGATAGGAGCTTGTCTCCGAGCCCCCCTTGTGCAGTGGTGGGGGGAATTGCCAGGGTTCCTACTGGGCCAGTCGACTCGTTGTTTCACCATAGGTTTGTGTCTACTTTCAATCTTTCTATTAGGGCTTGTCCTGGCAGTTATCCCTACACTCATGACTACACTGGAATCTCGGGTTCAGTTTACTTGTCGGGCAAAGGGTGCTCTCGCTGTGCTTCGTGTTAAAACCATCGTATTCATTATCGTCATTACTTGATCATTCTAAACCGTTAGGGCAACACCTAGTCGCCCCGACCTTTACAGACATCTTCCCGAAACACTGCGTTGAGATCGGTCGGGATCACTCCCGCCTTAACTCCATCTACTATAGTCAGCTCGACATTTTCCAAAAGTCAGAGCGATACGTACCGCGATAGGACCACCGATACTCGTTCAGCTGGGTCTTCCAGGTCCAAAAGATCCACCCCTGGTGTCGTTCATAGTTCTTCACCTGCGCGGCAAACCATTTTTTGTAAAAGTCCAGGTTGGAATATGGCGTCCAGTCGGGTGTCTCTTGCACGTTATCGGGGACCCCCAAGCTCCACTCGCCAACAAGAGCGGGCCAGTTGGTCGCCACGTTGTCGTTACACGAGGCCCTGATGTAGCTATCGTGGGACACCTCTACTCGAGGATCCCATTTGAGATAGCGATGGTTGTCGTAGGCAGCGTAGTAGTCATCCGTCAGATGCTCATGGGGATCCCCGGCGCCCCAAGCCTCGTCCATCATCTGGATATGCAGGTAGTCTTTTCGGTCAACGCCGAGTGCTCTTTCCACTCGGCGGATGGTCTGTTGTTCGGGGGTTTATCTCAGCATGTCAGTGTTTCCACAGCTCCATAAAAACACACTTACATGGAAAGCATTGGGGTAATAGTTTGAGCGCAACGTAGCCGTTACCTCGGGATTCTGCACCGGCTCGTTGACGACCTCCAACATTCCCACGTTGCGGAAATTGGGCAGGGTATGGACCTTGATCGCCATCCACTCGAGAAACTCGAGTGCCCGTTGGTACTGAAAGTCCACATAGAATCCAGGCGTATCAGCAAACTGGCCCGTAAAGGCGTTCTTCGCAACCTGGGCGCCAGGGGCCCCGTGCATGTCAATAATGATGTACAGACCAGCATCACTGGCCCACCCACACAGCTTCTCGAGGTAGGCAAATCCACCCCGTGGAAAATACTCGCTGTCGTGATAGATGAGATCTTCATTCATCCAGTAGCCGACGGGTATGCGAATTGTGTTCAGACCGTAGGCTCGTATCTCATTGATGTCGTCCTTGGTAATCCATGAGTTCCAATGTTTGGCGAAAGCTTTGTTGGCTGCATCCTGACCCAGTTTCATTACACAGTCAAATTCGGATTCCTGCCCTTCACAGCCTATCTCAGACCAGGCTTTCGTCGCGATCCAAGGCTCGAACACGAACTGCGTGCCCAAGTTCACCCCCCGAATCTTTCCGTGCGAGGCTCTGAAGAGATCAGTTCCATTGCTGGAGGTGATGATCTTGTCGGTCTTTGGAAGCCAGGCGACCGTCAGGTTTGCCAGGGTAATCAGGACCGCTAGCCTGGTGAGCTTCATACTTGTGACTCGAAAACAGCATGTGTCCTCAATGAAACACGCCCGGAAAACAAACGTACGCAATCCGGATATAAAATATCCACGGTTCTATGAGAGGTGATCTGCCGAGGCCAGCATCACTTGAACGGGAATTAGCGCCCCAGACCCATATGTGATGAGAGATCTGAAAGGGAAAGAAAGTAAATCTTGGAACACAGAACTCTTGCGAAACATGATTGGATCCAGTACTATCCGCGTTATGTAGGAGTCCCGCTAAGAATGTGTCTGACTCGCTACGAGCGATCCCATTCTGAGGGCTAAGTTTGAGTATCCTGTGCGACGGACAACTGCCCGCGGGGCTGGTAGGGGCAAGAATGTGTCAAACAGGTTACATTCCGCAGACGCCAGATCCAAACAATAACAATGGTCTTGTGTATTTCCAATGTGAAAGGGGTGGATGATGCTGGATCGTCGTCGTCGGGCAGTGCCATGAACTAACAGCCGAAAGCGCCGAATCTAAGCCCTATGCCTTGAACTACAAGAAATCGTCAACCTAGCGGTCTTTCCGTGGCCAATGAATCCAGAGGATCCCTACCCAGTGTCATTTCGCTTGTGGAAGTCCAGCCAAAATTTTTGGACAAATTGAGAAATCCGTGCAAACTCTGCGCAGCCGAAAGGAACAGACATTTTCCTGAATGCTCGCTTCACCTCACTCACGGCATACCATTCTTATCGGTTATGATTCCCGGAATGCCTCCACAACTTTGTGGACGCGTCGTCGGTAAAGAATGGACAAGATCAAGATATGTAGCAGGAATCCTCCAGACAAGAAATAGTGCCATTCTCCCTTGTCGATACCAATTTCCACAAATGCGATCCACTGTCTATAGTCCATTTTGGCGAGGGTGGCTGACCGACGTGAGTCACAACTCAGGGCTCTGAAGGCCTACTTTCAATCACGCGCGATCAAAAGAGATAGAGTTCACCATCCTTTGAAGTGTAAACCGTCGCCACGGATTCGCTATGTGTCCCTTTGCAAGAGTATCGGGCTGGATCTCTCCAAAGCTTGCTCGGATCCGATCCATGTGAGCTCCCGCCTGAGATATCTTCACTCGCTTCGTGAAATGGCATGCCGCTACTCATACGAAGTAGACCCCCTGAATGAAGATCCTCGAACATCATCCGGGACAGTAACGGCTTCCTCTGTCCGTCAAACTCATCCAAGAAAGCAAGGCCACCTTGTCTACCTTCTCCAGTGATTATACACAGGAATGGAGACCCCCCAAGGAACTGGACCACAGAGTGAAAGAAAGTGGATATAGCGAGAGTTCCCCGGGGGGGGGGGATCAAATAGTGAAATAAAAATGTCAAGAGGACCCCGGTACTTTTTTCCGACAGTTTAAGATGAAGAATGCCTTGCATCAGTGATTGATCGACACTTGGATCCTCCTAATACCAAAGAAGGATCCAGATCCGTATTTATAGAACAAAAAGAATACTGAGATATAACTCCTGTACTGCGTAACACCAACATCCGTCAGGATGGGTAGAAGTGACTTTGATCGACTACGATTACAGACATGTTTACATGGGCCAAGCACCCCCATCGATGCAGTTGTGCGACACCATATTCTTGCTGTGTCTTCGCTGCCGCCTGCGTTCCCCCTAGAGGGCTTTTCTGAGAGCCTACAGAGGGTGCCTGGAGTAGTCAACATTAGCCCCTCGTCCAGGTGCGCTATCACCGACTGCAACAGTCTGTCGATTCACTCGTTCATTCGTTCATTCGTTCCACCCTTGGTGGGATGGTCATGGCGGTTGCTTATTCCAGTCGGGCTCTGGGGGAAGAGTGTCCATCTTCTGAAATCAAATAGAGATCAGGCATTGGACAGCTGTTGGAAGACGCTTGCACCGAGGTGACTCTATGTCCACAATAGTACCTAGCTGGATTCCCTGGCTCATCTGCTGTGCTCTGTCCGTGGTGGTGTTGGGCCAATTGGGCCCAACCAACAACGCAGAATCATACCACCTCATTGCTCCAGCCAAGCTCGTGTTCCCCTTTAGTATCCGTGCGTTCGGCCCTTCATCATCCCCTGGAACCGTGTCATCGTCAAAGAGGAAACTAGAAGGGGTCGGTTTCCGCATCTGAGGCGACAGTTCCCTGTCTAGATTGCCTGATCAATCCTTCCGCGGTCGGTGTCAGAATGCAGATGGCTGGTGGTTTTCCCCTCCAACTTCTATGTGCGACCACCGGGTACGCTGACAGGAGAAACCGATCTCGGTCCTTGAATCGAGAGTGGCAGTTCAAGGAAATGGGCGAAGTCCGGAAGCTGGGATAACCGGTTTTCTTCACACTCAAAAAAGCTATATTTGTCGATCTCGGCTCCGAAAGGGAAACCCCACTGACGGTTCTTCATATTTGCTAGCCCCGTCCAGGACAAAAGCCTCATGATGAGGTTCATGCGTTTTCCGCCCCTCGGCTCCGAGGCCAGTTTCGCACTGGGCCGTGGATAGGAAATCTCCGAAACTGTCTCAACTCCCTCCTATCTCAGGGATTGGAACTTTGGCAAGTCACCTGTGGAGGGTTCACCTTCGATGCGCTACAAAGTAATCCTATTATTTTGATTGTCCTGACCAACCCCCTTTTGCCACTATCGCGGAATTCCGGACAGGGGAAGTTCGGAAGTGGTACCCTCAGCCATAAAGGGAAAGTCTGAAGCGAGTTCAGATTCCCACGCATTATTAATTAATTATTGAAATCGATGCATGTACGTACCCTCTCGATTAGTAGTTATCGCGATTTCTGGAGTCGTCACACGAGAGAGCGTCGAAGAGAAGATAGATCGGCTTCATATGAAACGAAGACTGCAGGTGCGCAACATACGATAGGGCATACGAAGTAGTATTCATTTCACAGGGGAGGGGAATGGATGAGTAGTAGAGGGAGAATGAATGCCCTGACACAACATCGCGATAGGGCACGATCGTCTGGAAAGTGGATTTGCATCAACTACTACACCGATTGAGTTTCGACCTCAGGCCATAACCACGGACCGGCTTCGGCCGAGACGGCTTTCCTTCGGCCACGTGCAGTTGGGGGTCCGCCTCATCTCCATCCCAAACATTTTCGTGAAAGAGGATCTCAATCTCCGACG